AGTGTTGAGGGCATCTAATCGTACCGCACACGGAATTAGCAAGCGCCTCGACAAAGAACTGAGGCAGCTTAATTATTAATAGTTATTTTATTTGCTTAAAACATTTACGCATTGCTTTCCACATGAGAAGTCATAAGTCCTTCCTGACGTTACATGGGTAGATCTTTTCAGATCTTTCAGATATTTTTCCATTTCGCGTCTATCATTGCTATCCACAACAGATCCTTGACAATAGCTTTACTATAAGAATCAGCAAAACACACACACACACACACAATCGAGACGGACGCTACTTTTCGGTATGAATGAAGAAGAATTTTCAACTTCCTTTTCGCAGGGGTTTCCTTGTCAAAATAGATTACTTTTATCTGCGAGCTCTTAGTTTTCCGTTTTATGCTACGGGAGTTAAGAGCGCTCTATTACGTCTCAGCTCCCTACCCCAAATTTATTTCATATGTCACCTTTTAATTGTGAATAGTAATATGAACCACTGAAATCACGATCCTAATATATTTCATTCAAGTATCCGACAAAATGATCAATTTCAATGCGAACGAGGTAAATTTCGTCGAATGGAAAAGTGGTCGAATCCTCATGATGTCAGTCGCTAATATGTCGAACAGGATTATTCGTCGGATGGATGAAACATAGAACGTGACTGTAAAAAAAATGGTAGAAAATGTCGACGGCAATACACGATATGTTGTAACATATTTATCCTTAAATAAATAATGCGGAGTGACCATCACGTCCTCGGGGCAGCAGGCTATTGTCCAGAACTTTTTAAATTATTGTTATTATCCTTACATGCAATATTCTTTTCTTCTCTTAATATGGAACTCCATGCTAACACAAGATAATCCAGTTGCTTCGGGGAAAAGACTTGTTGGAGCTGTGGGGGTGCAAACCCCCCCAAAAGAATTTGTGAATAGAAAAACCCAACAAAACCCATTCTTACCTGAATCCGACCACCAGAGCAGAAAATCTCTGGTTACGCTGTTTTGTTGTCTGTCAGATTAGGTCAGTCCTAGGCTATCTTCACAGCTTCGTAGTACTTACTCCACCGCAAAGCCATTTGGACAACAAAAACCAATTCGAATAGATGCTTGACTTCGTGAGACCAATTTTTTATTGCGACTTTCTATCAAAAGCTTCCCCTATAGTCGCAGTTTTCGGAATTCTGTCCTAACATTTCTCATTTCAATGAAACATCGTCCGACCTAAATAATTTCGACAGAGTATCTTTCTACAACGTGTAGCGTTGACAAAGTGGGATTTTACCTAATACCTCATTGAACCTTGAACAGGCTACGTTTCCAAAGGCCTGCAGGCTTAGATCTTGCCTCCTGAAATTCCAACATCGATTAATGGTTACTCTTCAATGTGACACAGAAGCTGGGGAACGAGTAATAGAAACCAGCTAGGCAAGTCATTATCATGGAGTCCAAGTCCATCGGATCGGGATAAGAGAGAGTGGAAGGAATGTCACGCAACTCAATAGAGACTATGGTCTATGGGAGGGAAAAATTCGTAGACCAAGCAACATTACCGTCCGTGGAATGCAATAAAGTGCGACTCAGAGGAATTCATCCTCTCTCCTTCCCCCTTTTTTATATTATCTGCTTCTCACTCTCATCAGATCCCCATCATTACCAACTCCTTCTCATCGACCAGTGACGGCTTCATCTCTCTGACTGATACAATCCTCATATCCGAGTTCTTTAAAAGGTTAACGCTCCTTGTAACTTGTCACGTCGTTTTTACCCGAGTATATCCAGGGATTCTTTTTACATCAGGTCTACAGGCTTAATTTATGCTAATAAAAGCAAAAAAATGTGAAAAGTCTGTCCTCTTTAAAACGACGTCTCATCATTTTAAAATTTAACAATGATGAGTATCATTTTAGACGACTTTCTTCGCAAGAGTTTTTCCCCAGGAAAATTTCTATGATTGATTGTATCCGGTCGATGCTCTCGAGTAGCCTCCGGGGAAGAAGAACTAATCTCCTCCTGTCAAAATCATCTGCTGTTTCCAGATACGTCTCATTTTTTGATGATTAATGTCTGAGTGAATCCCCTCGGCATTACTGTTCGTGACATACAGGTTGACCCAGGAAAAGTGGTAGAAGAAAATATACTTCTATCTTCGATTTCTGTTGATGTTTCTCGACCGCTTCAGTCGGTCAGTAGAAGAGAATGCACGCTAGCACATAATTTTACGATAAAATTCAGGAGAAAGAAGAACCTTGCAAATAATCACGAGCTCCAATTTCTTCCTCTCGATTGCAGATTGTAAGAAATCATACAGGGTGGTGGAAGAGGAAAGATCAGAAGAGAAGCAGGAAGAGGAGGACGAGCTGGTGGACGGAAATGGAGATGTCGAAGGACGAAAAAGAGACAGAGAAGAGGAAGAGGAAGAGGAGGAGGATGAAGAAAGAAGGGCACTGCGAATTCTGGGGAAACTGTTCCCCGAAAAAACGAGATACCACTTGAGGTCTCTATATGAAGAGAGTGAAAAAGATGCCCTGAGGACGATAGAAAGACTCCTTGATGCTAGGATCCCCTTTCGTCCCTTTCCCCCAACCCCTTTTTGGCCATTCAGCATCGGATGGGCTGGACAGCTCCAACCGCCTCTTTGAACCCTTCTCATCATATAACGATATCTAACAGTAATAGTGCAGCTATCTCCATCGTAAATAAACCAACCACGTCTCCCGCTTCCTTCTCATTCTTCGAAAGGCTTTGTGGAATTTTCGATACTCTGAAACTGCACCTTACACTGAAGATTTACGGTTGGCCTGTGAGACTTTAGGATGTTATTAGAATGATCTTCCTATCAGAAACTCCACTACAGCTGATTAACCTTCTAGAATGTGTATGTTTTCAAGAAATTTACTTGCATCGTATCTAAACTATGGTTTTAATGGCAGTAGGAACTACAACTGAACCTTTTCTTCCATGAAATAGGAATCTGACAGGATCTTTCTTCTCAATTTGACCATTGCCTTTTTAAAAGGGATTTCTAAATTTCTTGAGGAATCTAACCTCTGAGGGAAACACCTGAGTCTCCTGAATCCCAGCAGCCTTCCTCTCATGAAGGCACGACAGACTCGTACCAACTGACAGTCAGCATCCTCCAGGAACGGTGTTACCCTGTAATGCAATGATCAAACAGCACCTCAGTGTTCCTCACTTCATACTCCAAGAACAGATGTCTTCAAGCTTTGATGAAACCTATGGAAAAGGATGCGGCCATGGCAAGGGTATCAGAACCACTTCTCTGATTTACCCATAACTTTTCCTCTGCCGGGGGAAAGGGAGGGGGAGGGGGAGGGGGGAGTGGCGGATGCATTTAGATCAGAGTTGGGGGGAGGGGGGGCCTAGAACCAAACTTGAGGGGGCTGAAGCCCCCCCTCCCCCTCGCCCCTCGCTACGCCACTGGTTCGCACCCTCTAAACTATATTTTTTACACCCAGTTGTATTTTCAGGCCAGTTTGTCTTTAACTCATACATGCATATAATTATATGTACATTTTTGGGACCGTCCACTCTAACTTAGGGCGTATTTCTTTGCTGTCACCAGCAGCTCTCCAGAAGACAGGACGCATGCGCATTTGTATCAGGAGAGTAGCTAGGAAAGAAACACGCATGCGTACTATCTTCTGAATCGCTGCTGCAGAGAGCAAAGAAATACGCCCTTAATAGGGTCGAGGTAGAAGCAGGCCCAGGAGCGTCCTTGAACGCCATCTATCCTAGAATACGGACTAGAGATGCGTTTGTTGGTCTCGTATCCATATCGCATCTCACTTGGGAACCAGAGTCCGAGGAGTGCACTTCAACTTTTCCAACCGTTCTGGCCTCCCCTGAGATGTAGGGCGTATTACACAGGATTTACCGCCAGAAGTATGACTTGGGATTGGGAAAGTTTCATTCCAGCCACAGTACATCCAGAGTCGTACCCAACCTAATTGTTTCAAAGCTCCTTCCTAAACTGGAGCAATAAAGAAAGGCGCCATAAAAAAAAACGAGTATTACCTTCACCTCGAAGCCACCGATATTGATAATCTCCAGGGCCAGTCTGCGCATACAAAGCCTGTCCTTATACGAGGAGTGAAAACAATTTTGTCACTCCATTGATCAAATAAAACACATATCGCTCAAACAATTGCTTCATTGTTGGAGTAATCCAACACTTTAATTGAAAGAGGCCGAAAGTTGTGCTGGCTGTCACCCCGAAGGCCTACGACGCTATGCCATTCTAGACCAGCGGTTCCCCGACTTCTTTGAATCGCAACCCACTTGCTGACGTACAGAAAATTTCGCGACCCACCGGGGTCCAGAAGGAGGTTTTACAAAGTAGTTATGACGTGAAGAAAACTGATCAACCGTTTCTGCAGGCATGTTTTATCCTGCGCGGATGCGGATGTTGTGATTTTTTATACTGGGAAAATGTACGCGACCCACCTTGATGCCTCTCGCGACCCACAGTTTGGGAACCGCTGTTCCAGACCATAGGCCAGGCCATCCACAGCCTTAAGCGTCAGGTTAACGAGACTGCCATTCTTGGCCATAAAAACTGAAAGCTGCCGAAAGCGGTGGTGAATGGTTTTCACTCATCCGCGACCTAATACGCAAGAACTACTAGGCTATGCCATAGGCTAGGGCATAACATTTGTTTAATGTTTGAGTTGAACCGAACTGCTTCATATCTTCATGTAAACATTTTCAAATTTACGCCAAATAGACGGCCAGCGTAGCAGCTGGAGGCTGCTAGTCTCCTTTAAATTGGATGCAAATTTCCCAGCGATTCACTATATTTTTCAGTTCCTCATAGAACTTATCTTTCTGGATGCATTTCAATGCCATGGCGTGATGGGTCGTTGGTGAAGATGAGGCTCTGAATGAGGAAGTTGCAAATACTTTTCGCCTATAATCCTGCCGACTCGTCACGCGTTTTCACTGCCTCACCCATTTTGCAACGCTTATAATTTCCGCTCTGTTATGAGGTTCGTCCGCATCTACAGCTAGCTAACCACTAGGTGATTATCGGTGCTCAGTTCAGTTCGACTAAGATCACATGGGGAATACTTGTGGATAGCTTAATGCTGACAACGGTCAAGCTATTGTTAGCACAGACTCTCAAAACCGATTGATCCCACCACTTCATGTTGCTTCATCGTATCAATTCACCCAACCCATTTCATTCCAACTTCAGCAATATGAGATTGCCATTCAGAATCCCTTGTAGGGCTCCATCTTTGGGGCCCGAGGGCAAGAATGAAAATGATGAAAATTTGGAAAGCAGCATAACCTAAATCCATTCATTTTCATCAAAGATGCCATAATTGGAAAAAGGTAGAAGTAATTGCTTATCAAATAGAGTATTTATTCATTATTCAATGCTACCAGTACATGTCATGTATCAACACACGAGCTGAGGCTTGCAGTCCAATTCACTACCATTGCACATCACTCTGGGATGGAAAGGATTCATCAAATGTTTTATTCTGCATCTATCTTCTTCGGCATTTTAGGCGCGAGCACCAGATGGAAGGCATCCAGAGCGTTTCCCTGGAAGCAAGAGAAAGGATTCTGAACATTTACTAATATTTAGGAAGCAATTCATGGAAAGGCAAATATGTTTGTAGAAGGCTAAGAAGCAATTCATGCAGCAAATTTGAATCAGATGAAGGAGGAATTTGTTGATAGAATAACAAGTACAATAAAAGAAAGTCAAATGTAACAGGTCGAGCTACAATATTTAGATCCTCAAACACCTGCCTATTGTATAACTTTCCACCAAAACTCAGGTTTATAAAATTTGCTTACCCAATCCAATAGAATTAATGAGTAGTAGGAACTTCTTTGGTCTTAATAATAAAAATAAAATCTGAATGCATCTTAATATACATTTTCTAAAGGGCAAAACATGAGAATGCATAAAATCCAAGTATTCCTGAATCATTTAGTTTCAAAACTACAAATAACCTGGATGACTTGTTTTCCTGTTAAATTGGCATCTAATGTTTTTCTTCTGACTTCTGTTTGATGCAAGCCTATCAAAAATAAAATATGCCTGCATATAAATATAACATCAAGGTATTAGAGAATCAGAACCAAAACTCATTCTGTGACTTGAGCATAACTGAATATTGCAAGCCTGAATTCAAGGCTTTCTTACTCTCTTGGTAAGAGACAAATCTCAATTCCAGTTTAAAAAAATGAACAAGGATTAGGATTCAGGTCTAACTTATCTTTAGCACAAAAGTCTCAAATCTCAAGAGTAAATGGCCTGATTTGGTTTGAGCTATTTCAAGGCTTGAAAGGGTAACAATTCAAAAGATTCAACAGCAGCTGACACTAACAGCGGTAAGAGTTCCAACCAGGGCAAGGATGCCAACAATAAGATGCATAGTGTATCGACGATTGTTGGTTGCGTGATGTTCTTGCCATGACCCTTCTGGAACAGGAAGTTCATCCATTGTTGCCTTCTTGAAATCAGCAGGAACATATGCTGCTCTGGAGGCAGAGAAGGCAACTGGAGGGAAAAAAAAAAGGTTCATGAAATTCTGAAGGGAAAGCCAAAACAGAAAATCTATTATATCAGGCACAACTGAGGTTAGCAACAGGCATGTCATGCCAAACTTTTGCCTGGGTGTTTTTTTTTTTTTTCCATTCTAGAGAAAACATTTTTTTTCCTAGCTTGGCCCCCAAGATGAAATTGATGCAATAGGGTGTATGTGAGACTTATTACATGCCAGAAAAATTCCAAGTCCACTTACAAGAACGTGTCAGATGCCTTGAAGTGAAGTATGACAATTTCATCAAGGAGTTCATCTTGAACTGATTTAGGGCAGCAGCCAGGCTATTTAGGCCTATGAATAGGCTAAGCTGCCTTTTGTTTCTCTTGCTTCTGGTTTATGAACTATAAGAAATAAAGCATATCCAGTGATGATGGAAGCATTTAAATAGGTCTACAGCCTACACATCTTTGGTATTAAATGAATGTAAAATACCTTCATTTATAAAGCTTCAAAGAAGCAGGGGATAGTGAGAGAATAGCTGTGATATTGAAAACCTGAAAATGGGAACTTTATGTGTCGCATGTTACAATAATTTTACATGTTTTTGCTCAACACACAATTGATAAATCTTGGTAACTAGCATTAATAATTGAAATATCAATTGCAAAATTTTAATCCCTCAAGTGAAAAAAAGAGTAGGGATGGGGGGGATGTGTCAAGAAGTGACATCTCTCAAAGTCTACTTTCTCCTGTTGGTGATTTAATGGAAGAGTGTGGTTTGGCAACAAATACCAAGTTAGAGCATAATTTATCTCTTTCATGCCTTAGTGTGTACCATTTCAACATATCTGTCTCCCCTTTCAAAAGTGCTCTCAAAAGGAGTAGTAAATTTTAATAAATTCCTTGACATTTTGTAGTTTGACTAATCACAACAATACTGATATCATCCAACTCCCCTCTTCTCTCAAGGACCTCAGCCTATTGGCCATCCCTTTCTGCAGGTAAAAGTATTTATACATGCAACTCAGATACTAAACGTCATTGGGATAGGATAAATTTCACCTAATTCATCACTAAAAATTATGAACTTATCTTCACGGTTACAAGGATACAATGTGGTATGAAAGATGAATGGGGTTTTTATAGGAATATGTTTAACAAGTTGTCTTTAACACGTTGGCGACAATGCGTCCCGATGCCAGGATGCAGATTTTTTTTCAATGAATACCCTCTGGAACTGTTGAGAACGTTCCAGAAGATGATGATTTCGTAATTACTGATAAAAATTCCAAAAAATTCAACATTTTAAAAAAACTCGGCAAAAAAATGGTTTTCTGGGACCATGCGTCCTGATGGCAGGATGCATTTTTTGACAAAAAAAATGCGCATGGTCCCACACGGCGGACAAGCAAAAATAGGCTGGTCGTCAACGTGTTAATGAGTGAAGAATAAGAGAGGTCAGATGCATAGAATTCCAGTACCTTCTCAACTTGACTTGGATATTTTCAACCTGATTTTCCTAAGTGAGTATCAGGAATCATTGCAGGATTGCCTTCTCTATAGCTGCAATTGTCATGGTCTTATATTGTGTCTGATGTGTATCCCCATTTATTTAATTACTCTTGCATTGTTCTCCTTTCCTGTTTTCTCCCATGTTTCTCCTCATCTATTAAGAGACCTTTTTCCTTACCTGTCTTTTATTGACTCTGCAGCTTCTTTTCAGCTGTGAGTAGTCAATTTTCGTAACCAAACAACCAGAAATAAGGATGGTTGGCTACATGCCAATTGCATTCCATTACAAGAGCCATGCTAAATCAGAAATGAATGGCATATGATATTAAGTTTACAACAGGCTGTTTTCATCAATGGTTAATTCCCTCAGATAAATCAAACAAAACAGTAATGTAATTTTAATTCCTGCATAGGCCTGGGCCTAGGGTATTGAGGAACTCTCACTTGCTCAAGTGCTAGTGCTACTTTATTACGAAGTCAAATATTGAGTTCATTCCATAAGCTTTCCTGATGACAATGGCAATGTCTGTTCCATTCTGATGGTGACATCACCACCTATGGAGGTAGACCTAGGATAAGGTTCTTGTGTGAGGCGATGATGTTGTGTTCAATCACTGGAACAAGGTTCTCAAGGAGTCAAAGCACTTGAATGCTCAACTTCTTGAAAAGAAGCAATTCAGAAAGAGATCAAAGGAACACTGGGACAACCAAAAATGACCTTCCATGGCATCATGCACCCCACAAAAAACAAAAGCCAGACTTCAAGGCTGATGAAATTGACAAATACTTCCTCTGTTTTGAAAATGCTGACAAACAGCTGACCAAGACCTACTCTTCCTGAGGAAAATGACACTTCACTTTTTTCAGTCTGATGTTATAAAGGTTCTGAAAAAACTCAAGAACAATCTATCAAGCGATCTGTATGAAGTATTATCATGGCTATTCAACTGGATTAGTGAACTTGCAACCCCCATGGCATAAATGTATAGCACCTGACATCTAGACCCATCCCACGTTCCATGAAAAATAATTAATATCTCTCCAATCCCCAAGAAAGGACCAATTATGGCACATAATGACCTTCAGCCAATTGGCAGCAACTGCTCAATTCTCAAAGGCTTCAAAAATTACACCCTCACAAATCTAAAAGCTGTAACAACCCTATGCTTTAATCAATGGCAACTTCCTCACTAATATCAATATAATGCTACTAAAACAAACATAAATTATAAGAGACAAAATTATTGTTAATGTGAAAAGTGATGACTTGCACTCACCATTATCTAAATACTGTAGTTTCTTCTGTACCAATGAGGTCAGAACCTGACAATTTGTATGCCCAAAAGAGAGAACCACCAAATCTAACAGTCTGTTATAAGGTTTTTTTTTTGCAGTCTCTCATAGCAGGATAGACTGAAACAAGGCTTCTAAATGGTGCCGGCAACTGAAGTGGTCTTTGCCAAGCTTGTTTTTTTTTTATGGTAGGCTAGATACAAGAGGATAAGTAGTTTACACTCATGTGGTAGGAGAAATGGGACCAATTGCCTATAATAGTATCTCTCTATTTATTTTACAGCCATATTAGATGAGCAGATGTTCTCCAAGACAGAATGAAGGGTAACCCATGATTGCTTCATGAACCAGTCCAACCAGTCTACCTTTTGAACCCAAGTTTCAGCCTATACTCTTGGTGTTTGTAGATTGCTTGCTGCCTTTTGCAGAACTGACTTTCTGAACATGTTAACCACCAAGAGGTACTACCCTGATCTTACCTGTGGCCCCATGTGACACACCAGCATGTCGGATGGTGGTTAATGTGTTAAAGGGAAACATGGATTAAAACAATGTTTAAAATCTGAAGAGGAAAAGACAGAGCAAGCTGGTTACTTTTGAGTTTCACTCCATCCTCCACTTTTGGGAACCTTAAATATTCACATATACTGCAACTGGTGTTGCAGTTATACCAAAGGGAAAGTGTATCATATGCAAAGCAAGAGTCTTGGTATGTTTGGGGCAAATACCTAGGACTAATATGACCTAGAAGTGCCAGTTCACCAGTCATTAAGGGGCAGTCAATAAAAAAATCCATGAGCCTATAAAAGAAATGTGATATATGATATCTAAGTTGTGACTGCATTCTCTTTTGAAATAATTATACTCTAGTTCACAACACTTCTCCAATTGACTTATCAGTCAATAAAACCAATATGCAGACTCACTTCAAGCCCTTTCGTGACTTGACTGGAGCTGAATCAGTCCCTTTGATACGATAACTGGTTTGCCTATTTAATTCTCTTTAGAAAGGAAACGCAACACTATTTTATCTCTCTCATCAGGATGGAAAGTTTTAAATACAATAATGGATTGGGAAAATAAACAAGTCCATAAATCAATGAACAATAAAAGGTAGAAAGATGGAAAAGGGACTGTAATATCCTATGAAACATTTTGGGCCATGAGCTCATGTATGTTGGGACTGAGAGTTTCCCAATTGTCAAGGTGTCACAGTCACTTATTTCTTTTTAATAAGTCAATGTAGTCATAGCATGAGAAAGCATTAGAAGCAGATGCCTAAATTCATAGTGATTTGACTTAGGGAATATTGAGGGAATAAAAGTTTTAACCCTTTGAGGAGTGGGTTTTTTCAAGATTCCACATGGTGAATATATGGAGGGCAGGAGAGCATCAGCCCATAAATATACAGGCATACTCCCCATAGGGTTAATGAGGGCTGTTGAATATCTTCATAACTGATAATTTTTTTTAACCATCGAACACAACAAATTTAGGAATACTTTCAATAAGTACACCAGCTATGTGAGTATTGTTGCTTCAATGAGTTAAGCACACACATTATAATTCCTATACTTTGCTTCTCAATCTGCAAATGCAGATATGTATAAAGAATATGGATATGCACTACTCATGAAATTCTGTACTTGTATAGCCTGTAACCCCAACAATTAAATTTTAAATTTATGACCATGTTTCTTGACTTTCTCAGCTAAAATCTACATCAATGCAATTTAGTGAAGAGCTTGCAATTGATATACTTTACATCCCATTCAGATGGTGGTCCACTTCATAAGTCTTTCCATCATGTTCTCTATTGCCTAGCTCCATCCAGAGGATAAGTTCTTACTAGGTGCATGTAATCTTTCCAAATTGACTTCACCCACTCCCCTAAAAACTCTGTGGTGGGGTGTTGTTTTCACTGAATCCAAACAATGACTTACTTAGGAAAGAAGTGAGAAATGGAGACCAAGGGAGTCACATTCCTCTTATTTTTGGGCTGAAAGAGTGAGAAAGTAAATTTATTTTGGAGAATTATGAATCAATTGGGTTTAGAAAAAAATCCTGGCCTTTGGCTGTGACCCTTTTCTAACCCCAAATGAAATAAACAACTGAGGAACTACATATTATATTAATCAAATGATTCAAATCACTTTACTCATGGATACATAAACCAAAAAATGAATGCATGAATTCATCATTAAGCTGGAGATTTTCAACATTAAACAGGAAGTGCACTTCATTCCTACATCTCAATGTCATCAGTCCAAATAGGTGGAATATAACCCAACCATTAACATACTCCTGACAAGAGTCCTACACCATATTCTGTACGAAAACCTAGTTCTGGAACATAATTTTCCTGGAGGCACAATACAACTGAAACTGTTTTAAATTTGTTATTAGGGAGTATTAAGACTTCAAGCTCATGCTTCCTCTCTTGCTCAAAATCTCATAGGAAATGAGGACAGTGGCATCTTTGATACAAGAAAATTACAGTGATATGGGCTCATTCACCAAGGAACAAGTTGAGCAGCAGCAGATTTCTTATGCCTAAGTGTTCAAGAAATGCTTTACAAGTCTGAAGTATTTGAGTTCAGTGGTTTCCCACTGCCTAAAGAGGCACTAGAGATTGTAAATGGGTCAAGTGCATTAACACGTTGACGACCAGCCTATTTTTGCTTGTCCAAGATGCCGTCTCTATCATGTTTTCCCCCAATGACGTCATGAAAGTGTTGCCATTGATGGAATCACATATCCTTTCGAGTGAGACATCAAGTTGGACTCAAATTAAAGGATTTTTAAAGCCTGCAAGCAAGAAGTGACGGATAACCCAAATTAAAGTTCAAATTTTTTTATTGTGGTACATTCTAAACAATTGACAGCGGTAGCGAGCCCAGAATCACAATTATTGTAAACAGGATCCTCTGCTTTTTTTTTTTTTTTAACAAGTTAAGAAGTTGAACTTCAAAACGTAGCAGCTATCTGCACTTGTCTCTGTTTTTTTTTTTTAAGCAATAGTCACAGGCCATGAGGGACTCAGTAGAAAGGAAATTAAAAGATGATATGGAAACTCAACTGCTTTGGCATACCCACGCTGTATGTAGACATCGGATCGGACGCACGCATAGGAAACGCGGGCGCGCGCTCTGCTATTGGTGTTCATCCTTGACTCCATGCGTGACGTCATTGGTAATCAATATGGCGTTGTGCACGTCTTCATATCCCCGTTGGAAAGAGAAACGCTCAAGTTTTAGGTTGACCCTGGCATAGAAGTGGTGTTATTTCTCCACCTCAGTACTCATTTCTTTAGTCCATTCTTGCTTACTAAGCCTAAGTGGTATTGGTTTATTGGAACTGGAAATTTATTTCTAAAGATGGGGATAGTAGGCTACATGTGAAAGAATTTACATGAAGTTTCGTTCAGAAACGGGATCTTGCTTATGTCAGGGCACCGAATTTTAGTGGCTTGCATTTCTTAAGCCTCGACTGGTAGTAGATGAATTAAAATACTACCATGGGAATTGGGTGAAAAGGGACTTATTGGTTCTCCTACTAGATGAAGAAATACAATTTTATTTTGGTTTTTCATATCAACTCAAATCAGGAATAAGGTACTGAGGGGACCCTTCCGGTGGAATGTGGGTGGAAATGAAATGTTGACCAAAGGAAGAGATAAGGTAAGTCTCATAGCTGGTGAATAAAAAGGTAGACTTTTGTCAACAATGAGCTACAAGAGATATTTATCCAAAGGTAGCTGGACCTCTGAAACAAAGTACCAACCTGAGAGAAGGTATCTTTCCAATGGAGAGAAACAGCTCTTTTTTTGTTAGAGAAGTCACCTGCTTTGCATGGCGAGGAATTGCCCTGATGAAATATATGAGGGATGATTGACTTCAGAATCACACGCCTTGACTTGTTACTTTCTGATCATCCCTTATATATTGTATATTTGTACTGATTTCAGATTTAATTTATACCCCCCTCCCCCTGTAGGACCATACCCATTGCATGCAGGTAGTGACATTTTCAATGTGCATAGTTTCGCAGATCATCTGATGAAGCAGATACTCTAGGATTGTGCTTTTCCCCTTTTGCTCTACCAAGGGAGTAAAATTTCAATTTGAACATAGTGTAAGAAGCTATGCCAGCTGTTCAAGTAAGCTTCTCTCAGCCTGAGTGGACCTTTTAAAATCTAATCAAGAATATGGGTTGAAATGTTAATGGTTTGTTAAAAAAGGATGAGAGCTTTGCTAACATGGCAAACAAGAAGTCTGACTTTCATCCATTTGTGAGGAAACATTGATGTTAGGAAATGAAGCAATAGTCATCTTCCATCATCCATCCTCAATTGTGAATCCAGCAATAAACAGTTTTATCACAAGAAGCTCTCAAATGCACTGCTAATGTTTTAGACTTTGAAATTTATTCAACAGAAAAATATAATGCAGCAATATACATTCATATGAAGATGATGAATGTATGACCCGCTGGCGGGTCGTACATTCTCTCTTCTCCTGGGTCAGCTGCTGTGAACCCCACTTTTGGGAATGAGGTGATAACCATTGGTAAAATTTGGACATTACAGTTTGGTCCTGAAGCAAAATGCCAGACTTCTTAGTAGGAATCCCCTATCCTTGCCATATCTGAAGAAGTACAGTATTTGGCTAAGTCATACTCATTGATTTTAGAGAAGCATGTCATTTACCATGAATATGTTCATGGGGGTCAGGCTGTTAACAGACAGCTCTATAAGGATGTGTGAAGCACCTGATGTAACCAAACATTCCATTACCCTGATGACCATATAACTTACTATTTCTTCATCTAAAAAACACACTGAAGAAACATTGCCTGCTAGCTTGAATTAAATTGAATTAGTCATTATTGCATAACTCTTGGAGCATGCAAAGGAAGGATTGTATCTATGCTTCCTGCTCTCACAACACCATTGACAAAAGTATATTGATATTTTGGAGACTAGTCTGAAGGTGATAGAAGTTTAGAAAAAAATTTGACTCTCTTCTAGTACTTTCAAAGCTGATGACTGGGTTCTCTTGCACACATTCAAACACAGGATTTTCTCAAAAAGGTATGTATATCATATGAATTTGAGCAGTTATCACATATTTGTTTTACATGTTAAACTATGGATGCTTATACAATCCACAAATATCACCAATTAGCTGACTTTAAATGTGAACATTCTCTATGAGATCATCAGTTTAACACAATTCTCTTCAACCATATTCCAACTATCTTTACATTTTTTCCAAACATTTGTTACCTAATGTAGTTATGCCACATGATTCCAACCATCTTTATGCTCAGCACCAATATGGTTGGAATCATGTGGCATAACTCAATTCAATTGCTCATAAAAGATTGACTTAAAAGATAGCATATTAGGACTTGAAAAACGCTGCTAGAGGAGTTGTTTTAAATCCAAAGCTTTTCTGCTAACAAAATATTGTGTGTTTTAGCTTTCATATTTATTCTTGGCAACTAGAAGTTAATGCATGAAAAATTTGCTTTTCTATTTTCAAAGGCAAGGAACATATTGAATGTTTGCAACTCAATGTGCCTGATAGAATATTGCAGATTATAGATTAAGACAATATTCTTAGCTATTATTTGATGACGATGTCTGTAGTTTTTTTTTAATATACTGTAGGCAATGTTGTAAATGCATGTGATTCAAAATTAACTCCTTTGGCTATGGTGTTGGTATGGTGCCAGACTCAGTTTATTGAATTGGATGTGGGAAGGAAAATAGCAGTCAGAGTTACTAACAGTAGCAATGAAAAAGGTGATTTTATTTATGATGGTATTGAAGTTTGACAAAGAAGTTGCTTGTTAGAATTGGTATCTATATTATTTCTATCTGTAACTACTCCTGCTTTCCTGTTGAGGTTTCTCTTCTGCAACTTATGACAGGGAATTCATTTATCTTTCATCATTTCAGAGCTTCATGCTTTTAGTTTGGTACTTGAGAAGGATATTGCTGTCAATGTGGTTGAACCCTGTTGCTGACATCTTGGATCAGCAAGAGGGGAAAAAACTGCAGCATCCAAGTTAGAGCAATATTGCTAAAGCCCTCTCTTGTGGGTTGCAGTGTATAAAGAATTGGGTCAGGGAATCCCAGATTGCTAGCAAAAAACTATCTAGTGTGAAGTGGGCTTTAGTCTTGAGATCAACCTAACTTTCAGTATGAAATTACCAAAAACTGAAACATATCTGAAACTACAATCTCTAAAGTCTCCATTAAAATTCTGATAAATATTTAGTGAGTTCATGAGCTGACTTAATTCATTAAATTAAGTCAATGTTTTTAGTGGAAGGTTGTTTTAGAAGGGTGTTCAAAGGTAAACTGCTTATCTGCATGACATCAGAAGCTTGTGAGCTTTTTTCAGATAGCCAGAACTAGACTATTTAGTCTAAGTATAGAAAGTATGTCTATGGTGTGGATATGTATTAATGAACAACTTATCCTCCAACAGATGAGTCTAAATGGCTTGGTGCAGAATGTGTAGAACCTCACTTAATGTAACAACAAAGCAATTTCAGTATAGGTTGCCTGCTATGATGGAGATTTGTGCTGTTTAATGCACCTTGAAATTCACTGAAAGAAAAAGCTGTGTTTGAGGGTAGCAGGAAGATGGCTCAAGAGATTTCTGTTGAAGAAACAGAGATGCATGGCCATATTGTTCCTCAAGTTGCTGGGGAAGAAGACATAATATCGCATATGGGGATTGATGTTGGAGCCATGACAACAGTTGATTGTCCAGATGATGTTGTTTCTTCTGTGTTGGATCCTTCAGGATCTGGAACATCAGCAATTGCTCATGAATATCCTTATCTCCCTGGGATAACACTTCATCAGACAAATGGACATGGAAAGAATTCATTGTGAGTTGTTTTACAAAGTCTTGTGTTTAGCCCAGCTAATCCATTTTCTTTTTAGGCCTAATTGAGAAAATCCAGGTGTATTTCATTGAAACTCTGTTTTGTAGTTGGGATTTCTTGGAAGACCACCGCTATGCAAAGCAGCCTCCTCCCTCTCCTCCTCTCTTCATGAAAGAGTACTTGAAACGAGAGATGAGAGAAAATCGAATGCGCATAGAGGAGGCAGAAGCTGCTGCAGCTGCTGCTGCATCTGCATCATCATCAATGCTTAATGCAAGGAAACCAGTGCCCATATCAGAGAAAGAACGGACTGCCACCCATCTAGTAGAGAAAAAAGAGAAGCTCGCCAAGAAACAACAGCCATCTTCATCCTCAGCATCAGGTTCTACTGCCAAAAAGAAAGGGAGGAGCACAAATACAGGAGATAAGAGGATTGCTTCCCCAATGCATGAACCACGAGCATCTTCATCCGAGTCTAGTGATCTGATTAGTGGAACCCTGACATCAGCATCACCACCCCTTCTACAACCACCACCAACAAAGAAGTGAGACATGCCCATAATTCTTTCAGATTAATTTCATCTTTGAGGCTATACTTCTTGGTACTGGTATTACATTGCCCTTCTTTCATCTTTTTTTTTTTATAGAGAAGCAAGAAAACCTGGAAAGGGTTTTTTGAAGGTCAAGATGGCTTTTGGAAACTCTGGTGGAAAAGGAGGTGCAAGTAGCAGTGGGAATAAGAAACTGGGGAAGAAGGTTGCTTCTGGGAAGAAGTTGAATAACAAAGGTACAAAGTCACCCTCTGCTAGTACTTCTGGAGTCAGATCCAAAGCTGGTACTGGGAGAAATGGCTTTGGTGATACAGCTGATGATCAAGGCTTCATCTTCTATGGGATTGGGAAGCGAAAGGTCCGCAGGAGAGACCGATCAGGAGATAATATGGTATGTTCCCATTTCATTTTGGAAAAATATTTTTCATGCACTCAATTGTACTTGATGATTTTCAGATGTCACTTTTAAGAAAGTATAGAACTGAAGCAACATTTGGTAGGGTGGGGTTGAAGTTAGTGGCAGTATGTGATTGTTTTTGTAGATGAAGCACTGTACTCTGTAGGTACTGTACACTGTAAGTAAATGGGTATCCCACTGCCTACTGCCATCTTCCTTTCAGGTAGAAAACTTATCATTTTTCACTTTTCCTTTCCTTCTTTCCTAGCTTGTGAGCAAAATTAACTACATAGCATCTCCCATCATGCTCTATGTAAAGCTTCAAACTAAGTTCTTATTTTCACTCCCCATACCAATTAAGGTACAGTACAGTAATAAAGTATCCCAGTGTTGGAAACAGAAGGGAAAAATTATAGTGGATGCAAATTGTGTAATTAAAATGCTTACGCTGATAGCCTGACCCCACAATCACTGAAGACAAGTAAGATTGGGAACTGGGTAAGAGGGAAACAGAAGTTGCAGAATATATATTTCTATCAGAAGCATCATGTTGGATAGGTTGAGGACAAAAGAACTGATGAAATGGGCTTTCAATGAGAACTCTATGGCATGGAGCCTGTCCCTTGAGGCCTGAGGAGTCAAGACTCTGGGAAGAACAAGTGAATGGATGGGATGGTTGTGAAATCCTGCCCTTTCACTTGCCTCCCATATGTATACATGAGTGACAATGGTGATTCATATGGTTGGAGACAGTCAGGGTGGCTGGTATTACTTGGAATAGGATATGCATTATAGATTTTAAATCATGATGTTTTCACTGATTAACTACTGTGCATATAAGATTGCTGACCAATGCTGCTTGGGCTAAAGATAATCATTCATGAGAAGCTTCAAACCTGTGTTTTTGGCCACCAGTTCAATGCAGTTTTTCCAAATGTGTTTGGTAGTTACCTGCTTGAGTGCATGTCAATGAGAACTCATGCACACAGCAGCAAGTGCAAGGCTTCTACAGTGGAAGGGGAATAGGAGGTTGAAAGAGAATCATGCTATATCATGACCAGGCACCTTTGTTTCTTCAGAATTGATTAATGATATGAATGTTGCAACATGGTGACAACTTTCATAATTTTTTCAGGGGACCAAAAGTTGACTTTGGTATAATCTTTGGTAAAATATAGCCAAGATTTCACTACAACCAATAAGAAAGGCATAAATGCATGCATATTGTATGCATTAGGCCAGGGGCAGACATTTTTTTTGTCACTACAACTGAGGTCTTATGGTAACAGAGTTAATTGTATATACACAATTAACTCTGTTACCCATATAGCTTCCTATTTATTCCTTAGCCCTTTCTACTTAGTTGTCTCCCAATGATAGCTATGGGGAATAATCTAAAACATAGGAGTGGATGCTTGAGGTTTTTTGCTTTCCCTACTTGTCTGGGTTTATTGAAATGGGAAAGTTACAACTATGTAGCACACTTGCATGTTCCCTGCCATCCTGTCGTGATGTCAGTGCAGTATCATTTTTTTTATAGTCTATTTATCTGGTATCACCCATGAAAAAGAAGGAAATTATTATAATAAAAAAAAAGGTCTGATCTGTATCTAACCTGTCTTGACTGATGAGAGTCACTGCATAAGGTGGAGCACATCTTTAATTGACATATTCATTTATTAATACTTTCAAAATGCTTTAAGCCAGGGGTGTCAAACTCAAATCGGTCGGCGGGCCGCACCCATACTTTTTCACCGAAATTTGTGCTATCAGTCAATCTAAGCAGAAATTTCAAGAACAGGCGGCGGGCCGGATGAACCACCTCCGCGGGCCATATGTTTGACACCCCTGCTTTAAGCCTAGACACGATGAATGGTCTCAATATGTGTTCCCTGAGAGCCAATCCCCCTAAGTTCTTGCAATCTTTGGCCCTGCCATCATGTTTTCCTGCATATTTCTACAAAAAAAAAGGCAATGCCACTCCCTCCCTTCATAGATTTCCTGATTGCATTGATCTGAGATGAACTCTGAAAGCATACTTTTTTTGTGTTATGTTATTTATGGATAAGGAAAGTGAGCTATAGAGTTCTGAGTCCCACTTATTCATTACAGAAGAGAGGTGAACATCTGAGTGATGGAGATGTGAAGAAAGAGACTGGAGAGGATGTGAAAGACAAGAAGGAAGAAGGAAGAGAAAAGGAAGATATAGAAGGGAACAAGAAGGAAGACAAAAAAGAGGTGGAGAGTAGAGCAAAGAAAGAAGGCAGCCCAAAAAGAATGAGCCATAGACGACTTGAGAAGGGAAAGGAGAATCATGTTGAAGAGGAGGAGGAGACAAAACCTCAAACTCAGGTGATAATGAAGAAAAAAAAGGAAACAGTAGGAGGAAAACTAGATTCCCTGGCCAACAGTGTGAGTGAGCCCAAAAAGAAGGGAATGGGAGGAAAAAGCAAGACTTCTCAGGGTGAAGATAAATACTTCAACAAAAGCTTTGGCCTGATCTCCCCAGAGAATATAGTTGCCACCAAGAGGCGAGGGAGTGTGGACAATGCAGTTGAGCCTGCAAAGACGCTGCCTGTGCCGATCCCAAAGAAGCCCAGGTTAAGACTTCAAAAGCGGTGAGAGTGAGAGAAGGAAAGTGACTGCAGTGAAGAAAGCCAGCAAAATGAATTGTGTTTCCATGAAAGGACATTTCTCTCTCATTCGACAGTACAAAGTCCCTTAGGCATGTGGTGGATATGTCTAGGATTAAAAAGAGAAGGGGATAGGCACACATGTCTGAGTCTGAGTGTGGCAAGTCTCTAGTACAAAAGAATCTCTGAGAGATTTATTTTCTATCATTCATACCTGCAGAGATAACTCCTGGTTTCCATGTGAAATAGAGACTGAAAGGCTGTTACCATCAGCAAAATACATCCAGGTCCAGGAATGGAGGGTTGGGAAATAAAGTGGCACATAAGGACAGGTGTTGTTAGTGTAGTGTAGAAATGGAAGGTATGGAAGAGTTTGGGGGGTTCAGTGCCAAATGAGATATCCACACAGAGATGGACCTGCAGGGCAGAACTAAAGGGGAGAATAAATCCCGAGTCTTGTACAAGTCTCTTGTATAAAGTTTGACAGTCCTCTTCTCTTACATCATGAATACTTGAATCACTGGTTGGATGATGTCTTTTTGTGTGATTGGTTCTCTTGAGTCATGTTTTCATTCTCAATAACTTGACAGCATTTCCCTTTTGCTTCTAGTCAACTGAAAGGGAAGGGACTCTGTTAACAGGATGGATCCAAATGAGGATTCCAATCAAATTGTCTTTTTCCCTCCCTCCTTCCCCACTTCAAAGACAGTTTCATTCTCATTCTGTAACAAAAACAGACATTCTTTATTGGGCTTCTTACATGTTTTGTATATAGAGGATGAGAAACTTCATTATTGTGTGTGAGCATTGGTGTCTTGACTCTTTCCTTTCTTGTTTTTATTCTGCCACGTATTACATGTTCATGTAAATGGTGTGTAGAAAGAAGTTTTTACAGTATGTTGGATTATGATTTTTCCATTAATAAAAAAAAATATCCTGTCACCTCACCTGTGTACTTTATAGGGTTAGAGGTGTAACCAGAAATAGAAATGATTTTCTTTCCTCCTACTTCGGGATCTGGATAAGATTTATTAGAGAAGTTGAAAATTACATGCACTTTCATAACATTGACTGCTTCCCTCATTGCAAGAAGCCATAGAAGCAGTGGTTCTCTACCAATTTTCACCCATGGGACCCTTTTCAGGTAATGACATTCACACCCTGTACAATCCCATGGAACACCAGAACCAATAATGCAGATAAAAATAAAAATTCTTAAGTCCAGGACTTATTCATAAAAAGACTTATTATGCACTATTACTATCTATGCAATCACTTTGCACTTTCTTGGGAGTGCTATCTTCCAAAATATGGCCTCAATTTACTGGGAACCATCCCTAGTAGCACTTAACATTGAAACAACATTGACTCAATGTTAATTCAACATTTGGACATTGAATCAATGTTGATTCAATGTTATATGCTACTAGGGATGGACTCTGGTGGCAAGACCTCATCACATTTTACGCAGTCTGGACGAGTCTTGCTACCAATTTGTGTGATCTAAGCCAAAGCTAGATAGCTTGCATCATATTTATGAAATTTGACTTTCCTCTCAACTTGCTTCTCAAATACTAAGCTTTTTGTCTGTTTTAAACCAGCGTGACATTTCCACCAAGTTTTCACTTGGACATGTAATGTATTTATCCATGCTGGAATACAATATAACTTGGAAAACACCAGAGAGAAATAGAAGCAATCTGGTTTTATAACTAGGGAACAGAATTCATGACAGAAAGACAACTATGTAACTTTAATACCATGAAACAGCACTAGTGACATGTAGCCTGTAGAAGTGTTCAGGTTAAAAGTTCAAGTTTAACAAAATTTACCAATAGAACCAAAAGCTTCATGAATTCTAATCTATACGATGCATGTGATTAGAGAGAGACAAGACTGCATGAATACACCTGATATGGTTCTCCATGAGTCAGGAACAGCAAAGACTAACTGAAAGAGGATTTTGAATGGTGATATCAGTCAACAGAGGACTGAATTTCTATTCCAGGTAAGCAGCTTTCCCTGAATCCTAGGGAAAAATGCATGGTTCTTGGGGAGTGTTGCCTTCTCATCCTATTTAGATGAGAATCCCATGGCACCCATAAGCCTACTGTAGCACACAGGTTGAGAACTGCTGATCTAGGACAAGGCTACCCAACATTTTCTAAGTGGGAGTCTCAGAGGGCACCCCCTGAGATCTTTGACAATCCCAATGGTATGCAATTCAGGAACACAATCACATTGAGCACCTTCCATGTGTAAATTTATGTACATGGGTTGTTCTGAAAGTACAGTGAAAGTTATATATATATGTCATAATGCCAGAAGCTGCCTTTTTATTCCCTTTTTTTCTATAGGATATTAGAAGTTTCAGGGAATATTTTCATTGCTTTTTGCCCAGCACAAGTACCTGAAATTTGTAAAAACATGAGCCCTCCCCCCCCCCCCTTTGAGGTGCAGTTGTGTTACTGTAATTTTCATGCAATTGTTTTTGGAGGTTCAAGCTCCAAGAAATGTGTCTCAATGTCATGAAAGGCTTGTTAAAGCCTTTGACAATGGAGCCACATCTAAAAAGTTTGCGTTGACTGGTTTTTGCAGTTCATCAGACTGATCTGGATGCTGTCTCCTGTGAAGGGCATCTGAAATAACTCATTTCTGCAAACGTAGAGAAAGTCAATTGTCATTTGAAGAAGACCTGACCTTACCCTTGAAGAGACTGTTGGCATTACAGTAGCTGCATTAAAAAAAAATTTAACCAACTTTTGAAAACTAGGAAAATAGTAGTCCACTGGGTCTGACAGCAAGAAACAAACGAGAGTGAGTTTCTGCAAAACGATGCTCCTAAAATTCTGCCTAAGGCAAGTCTCTGATATCATAACCAATGAATGGATAGGGCTTTATTGCCATGATCTGCCAACAAAAAATTAAAGTAGAATCAAAGCCTTTCCAGGCTACTCAGACAAAATTTTGCAGGCCCTTCCCCCTCCTTAAATGAAGGCTTCATGCTTTTTGCAAATTTCAGTCACTCGTGCTTGGCAAAAAATTATGCAAATATTCATTGGAACTTACTGGTTGATTTCTTTTTATAGCAGAAGTTTTTCAGTTTTAATCCTCTCCACAGGTGTCTGCAAGGGAGGAGGGAGAAGCAGAAAAAAATAAACAAAAGGATTTTCTCCCAAACTGGTTTCTTGGCCTATTCAACAAATCAATTGGTCCCACCATAATTTTTCCCCCCTTCACACCTCAATCTTGAGTTATCCATGAGAAAGTCGTAAATGGGAGTGAAAATGTAGTTTGAGATATCCAGAAATTCTGAGATAAGGGAATTCAAGTTAAACAGAATATTTAACATGGTGTCTTATGAGGTTTGGCTGGGACCAAGCATTGAACCTTGAGATAAGCTGAATTTTGACTTATCAGGATTCAAGTTAATGAGTTTTTATTGCATGTTACTTTCACTTTACTTTCAGAACAACCCTCGTAAATTAAAGAAAAAAAGAGTGGGACTTTAGAGACCTGGGCTTCTCAGCAGTCCCAAAATTATTATGCATCAATTGGGACTTGTGTCATGTTAAGAAATCCCTGCTTTAGACTAAGAGTCATGGCCACAGTTTAGAGTGAAAGTACTGATTCATAGTGCAGATAGGATGTTTCAGTTTAGAACTTTTAAATGTATAACTTATGGCAAATATAAAAAATGCAGTCTTGTGATATTTATGGGATAAGTCCTGATGCCATTGGCATAAGTCCTATATCTGTGTTGAAGGCATTGAGTATAAATTAGTGTGTTTTGCAAATTTTTTATACCTCTAACCCTTAAATGTGTTATTCTGTGACCTTGGCCAAGATCAATGACATCAGGTGGCTCAAAAAAGTACCTGCTTTTATGTCCCTGCAGTTAAAGCACCATGTAAGAAATCTGCAGGATGTTTTCTCTGACATATAAATGTATTAATAAATATTCTATGTAATTTTTCATTCATAATCCATGTAACAGTTTTCCTCCAATGTTAAATTAGTAAGTTTCTATGTGTCTGCTCAGCCAGACTGGTTATGGAGAAAATGTCTCTGATGAACACACCAATACTCACTATTTTGACATCACATGGAAATATGCCATTACTCAGGTTCTTAAGGACCTGTCTCATTGAAGTTTTTTTTTAAAATCACCTATTCATGCTACATCCTGTAAATTATCTGCCAAAAACTCTTATGTTGTTTTGCATGAAGGCATCTAAAGTTGGAAAATTTGGTTGAGGCAACCTGGTGTAAGCATATTTAGATACATTTCAGTTCAACCCTTAGGTGGAAGATGGGGCAATTCAGATTCAGTTCAGTGCTGGTTTCATTCCAAAAACACCAGCTGCTTTCTGGAGTAAAAGCAAACCCCAATGATTTTGAGAGAATCAGAAACTAGTTTAATTCTTACAACCAATCCTCTATCATCAGTCCCTGGTATGTGATGAATGAGAATGCATCAGAAATGACAGTCTTTGTATTAGTCATATCTAGGTTGACAATGTGAGAAAAAAAGTGTCGAGTGAATTCTACATGTCATGTAAGCCTGTGCCTTTATTTATTTTTAATCATACTCATGATGCACATAACTTCACCTAGACGAAATAAGCAGCCAATTGTGCCATTTTGTCCTTTGGCTTGGGTCGAGGTTTGCCACGACGAGCACGGCCACCTCGTCCACGACCCCTTCCTCGTCCTTGGCTCCGAGTATTGGAGCTTCCTTGCCTACGTACCATAGCATGATGCTTCTCCACAAGGGCAGATAACATCTCTGAGCAGTATATGCATCCTGTGCTTTCTGTTGATCCATCTCCAAGCTTTGTCTTCTCCTGCACAAATTACAAGTAAGATTGTGTCTTGAACCCAGTTGAAGTTCAAGGGAAAAAGAAACAAACTGGCTCATCACAATAAATAAATTTAGCATATTCTCACAGGCTTGTATTCCACAGTGACTCGCTGAGATTGACAGTCATCACAAGTGTCTTCAAGTACATTCACTTTTATGGCATCTTCAAAAGCATGAATGATTACATCACATCTGGAAACAAAAGGAAAAATAACAGACTGACTTTGAGATGTCTAACTAAAGGAAGAAATTGCAAGTGCTAAGAAGAGGTGAGAGAAAAACCTATTGCAAGTGAGTTTCCACTTGGGTCCAGATGCAGGGTCAAGAACAAGTATCCCTTGAGGGCATTCCATGCAACTGGATACTCCATTGGCATTGAGACTGTATGGACAAGTGGGATGAGTGCACATATTACATCCACTTGCCTTCTTCATGTCTCTATTATAGAAAGAGAAAAGAAGTTTGATGTCTGTTCACACTGCAGCTTCATCCAGGAAAAACAAAAGAAAAAAAGTGATTCACTTGAAGGGGGGATAGTTATAGCAGTAGGGACAGAAGACAAAGCTCTTGCCCTTGACACCTGCAGACCAAGTAAGGAGTTCAAATTCATCTAGAGGACACTTAAGTTCTCGATACAATCTTATGGTGCCATTCTGAGGGAGCCCATAAGTCTCATCACATTGGGAGCAATGGAGACGACATGGCTTGGTACTCACATACTTCATGTACCGACGACACTTCCCACACCTGTGGCCAATTTCACGCCAAGTAATAACAAAAACATCTCATTTCATTGACTCAAAGAAAATTGATGAAACTAGGCAAAAATTGACCAAAAGAGATTGAGGACATACCTGGAAAGAGGCTTCCCACTGTCTGCCAAGGGAGAAAATGAGACTTCAAACAAAGAATCCATGGCATCAATGTTCTTTACAAAATAATGGAATTTCTGTTTGAAGACCTCAATGTTGTGATCAAGAACAGCTGACAAATCAGCTTGTCCATGAGCTATGAGGTTAAGCTGCTTTTCCACTGCAGCACGCATGGTTGGAAGCACCAGATCCCCATCAATCTAATGACCACAATTCATAGCTTAAATGCTATTCTTGATCATCATTAGCATACACTAAACACAAAGGCTCCACAGTACCTTCTGGTAGCCATGAACAAGCACAATGCCTAGAGAAGTTGGAATGAGACGTCTCCCACTGCTCACTGTCACAAAATTCCTCTGGCAGATATTGTTGATATGGACAGGAATGGATGCATCTGTCCCAATGCCATGCTTCTCCATCAAGGAGATCAATTCAGCTTCTGTGAGATAATCTGGGGGTTTTGTTTCACTTTCCACCAGCTTCACCTTCAAGGAGATCAAAATCACAAGTCCAAGACAGAGACAACATCCTTCCAGTCCAAAGATAGAGAGGAACAGACATCTTCAATTGAGAGGAGCTGTCCTTGTTGAAAATCAGGAAGTATCTCATCTGGTCCAAGTCCTTGCCAGGTCATGACACTTGTAAATCCTGGATCTATGAGTTTCTTTCCAGTACATGTGAAACCCTCTCCATTGATGTCAAATTCCACCACTGTGCTCAAATATCGACAATCACAGCTCACCTACAAAGACAATAAGAAGTGAGCTAATACAATTATCACAAACATTCAGATGATCAATATATTGTGTGAGAGTGAAATGAAGGCAAAGGAAGGGAAGGCATATACAGTGCCAATGAAATGCTGAACGACATATGAATAGAGTCTCCATGCATCTGTTTCCAGATCAACTTTAGATGCTAGTTTCATTGGGGTGATTGGAGGATGATCCCCAGCATCAGATCCTTTCCGTGGTTTTGTCATTCCTTGTTTCAGGAGATCCCTCACTGCTTCACACCAATCACTTCCTCTTTCCAGTACTTTTAATGTCCCCCTAAGACAGAAAGGATGTAAGCAAAAAAAGACAATGTTCAGATAAGCAGAGGATGCAAAGAAAACTTCACCCTACATGAGGTCAAAATTGGCTGGGTACTGAGTAGTCTCTGTCCGAGGATAGGAGATGTAACCTTGTGTGTAAAGTCGTTCTGCAATCTGCATGGCTTGATGGGGTCCCATCCCAAGACCAGAACTGGCAACACGCATCAACTCCACTGTATTTAATGCTATTGGCCTTGCTTTGCTCTTTTCCTTCCGTGTGATTGATGTCACCCTGGAACAAAGAGTAGGTGATGAGTAAGTTAGGCTATTTTGAGAGAAGCTGCTTCATCTTTTCATAGAGGTAAGAGGAGAAAATGAGGGATAAGACATAACTAACTTGGCTGACTTGCTTTGCTTTACACAATGAAGGAACATCATGGCCACTTCCTTGTCAAAACATCGCACTCGCATCCAGTCCAGTGTGAGAGACTGAGCGCCCTCATTCCCTTCTACTGTTACCTAGAACATGTCAAAGCAACCACATTACTTATAAGGAAAGGTAACCAGCCAAAATGATCACTCTTATCTTGTATCATTTGGATAAACAAGGTGATTATAAAAGTCACTTCATTGGGTGTATGGCAATCATAGCACAAAAATCTATTTGCTGCTAATAAGTCAACATCTTCATAAACCTATCCTAGACTTGTTGTGCATAAAAGTGACATCAGCAGCACCCTCTATAAGGCATGTTTATTTTATGTCATGTTTTTCCCTTATGTGATACCAATCTTCTAGATTTACTGAGCTGTATCACATTTTCAACTAAATAAAGGGATGGCATACATACATCATTGTTATAGCTCTGTTACAATTTGGATAAGCAAGATCCACTTGGCATCCCTGGTGTCACATATGAAAGCTTTAGCTTTTATTTCTTTCCCTCTACTTCTCATGAAATGGAACTTGTTTGGGCCTGAGGAATTACATATGATGTATGATTTTTTTTGTACTCAAAAACCACTTTAAAGCAACAGAATACATTTGGAAAAAAATCATTATAATTTAAAGCTTAGAGTCAAGGAGGGTATGAGAACAAGTACTTCACTTTTCCTATCCATATTCCAAGTCTTTGTCTCATGTACATTGAAAACATATCCATTACATGAAAATGTATTATATACCTCTTGTACCTGCATGAACCTCTTCAAACCTTTGATACAAAGTATATCAAGTGATGCCTTTGGATTTTATGCTCTCCTGCTTTTTATACCAATAACCTTGTCATAGTGAAATCCCAAGGTATCAAAGTGACACCTCAAGCTGAGCAGTAAATGCAAAAATTATTCATATTAGTTTTTCCACCCATCAGTAAATCCATTCCAAATCAACAAAACATATTTTGGAAAGAAATCATGGTCAGTTTGAACTCAGAGTTGAGGCTTGTACACACAAGTGACTTTATATAATTACCCTATTGAATCAGCATAAAATACAGTTCAGACACCTAATAAAACAATTTTTTTAAGTATAGGACTGTTCACAGATATTGAGTTTGAGGCAACTTCTCTAACCATCTCCATGTATAATTATTTGCTTCATATTAACCATTTTCATTATAATTTCTTATTTGCAAGAAAGGAAAACATCTGAGTAAACAATAGCAAGCCATAATTATAAAGTTCCATTCATTACATATTCCTCACTGCTCTGAAAATCCTTAGCATTGTTATGTAATATAAAAGCACATATAGGGTTCAGTCATAGGCTCACTTTGACCATCCAATATGGTTCTGGCTTGAAGGACTGAATGCTGTCGTGCCTCTGAACACAGAATCCCAATGTTGGAGTTTGACAGGGCCCAAAGGAGATTAGAGAGGAGTCGAGATTTCCATATTTGCCCTGTTTGAAAAGAAATAGTACAATTTCTCCACTGAAATTAGTACTTTCTAGTTGAGGCTATCTCTTACATAGACATAATTTTTCTTCTTCCAGCTGAAACCTGAAACTCACCATTCATATTCCTTCTTAAAGAGCTAATACCCAGAAGAATTAGCCAACAAAAAATTCAGTTACTCACATGGAAGTATTTGGTCTGAAAGCGAGTAAATGCACATCCAATTCGGAGGTCTAATTCTTGTCTTGCGTCCACACTCCTGGCTTCATTCTCATTTGGTTCCCCAAGATTCTGGAAGGCTGCTTTGATGTCCTTGTCCGTCAACGCAGAAAAGTGTGCCCGAAATATGCACTATTGAAAAAAATTGTGTTATGTCTTCCAAGTGTTGGACTATGCTTTGCAACATGTGATGCTTGGTCTATGGACTCCAGCAAATATAATGCCTAAAAAGAGAGAATACAACAGGTCTCTCATTGGGTGCTTTTGCGAATTCTTGCCAAAGGCCAAGATTCAAATGGGCCTGATCAGGTCAGGTTCTGATGAACTGGCTCATGTTGGCCTCTACTCTGTAAACTTATGCCTGACTGCTGAAACATCCTTTAGTTAACCATCCTTTAACTCTATCAAAGTTATGCAAAAAAATATCTGTCATCCCCCTTTGTTATAAAAATTGGGACTGTTTACCTGAAAACAATGGTTTATGTTTAAAATCTCATATCATGAAAACTATTGAAGATAGCAGTTACATGCATAAATAGCAGTGAAATAACCTAGAAACAGTGATTGGTCAGAACGTGATAACATACAGGGTGACCGGAAAGTTTGGAGACACTCAAAAATACCAATATCCCGATACCATAAAGAACAATAAATGTTTTTTTTTAATTGTATTAGCTCACTTCTTATTGTCTTTGTAGGTGAGCTGTGATTGTCGATATTTGAGCACAGTGGTGGAATTTGACATCNGCATTGATTTTGATGTTAGGAGCCACAAAATGCAAGGGTGTTTTACCGTCGGCTGTAATGCCACCCCAGACCATGACAAACTGGGGTTTTTGCATTCTTTGCACAAACTGAGATTCTGACAAGACTCTGGACCCTTTTCTGGCCCAGACACGATCATTTTGGGGATTAAACGCTTGCTGAACTGTAAAAACTTTTTCATCTGAGAACATGATCCGACGGTGTGAGTTTTGCTTGAATCTCGCCAGTAGTTTCCTTGATTTTTGCTTACGCAATTCCTTGTTCTTCTTCGTAAGCACCTGAACTACTCATTTTTTGAAAGGGAAAATGTCCAACTTCTTTCTAAGATAGGAGCGCAGAGTTTCGCGCTTGATCTTCAAGTGACTTCGGCACTTCCGTTTCAGGTTTCGATCAAGAAGCTGTTTGACACACTTTCAAAGAGCAGGATCCTTGAAGACACTGGGACAGCCACTTCTGGGTTGATCCTGAGTTGTACCAAGTTCCTTGTAGCGGGCAATGGCTTTGTACACAGTGGATCGTAGCAGTTTCAGCTCCTTGATGATCTTTGCAGGTGAATGACCTTGCTGAAACATGTAAATCACAGCTTCTCGACTGGGTTTCGATGCCATATCTGCACCAGGAGGAGTAATATTTGCGATGCAAAAAGATTAAGCCTAGAGCTAGACTTGTGGAAGAAATGAAGCCTCACACTTGAAAAAAATTTTTAATTTTTACAAGTTTCTGAACTTTCTGATCACCCTGTACTTGGGCTACCACCACAAAAGCCTGAATAAGTACTTGGGCAAACGGGGAAAGGACTAAGAAGAAATGGATTCATGTGGGGGGGGGGGGGGGGGAAAAGAGCTTTTTAGCTAAAAGGCCCCTTTTTCTCCTCTAAATAAGGTTTTTGCTTTTAGGACTTAAACTCTAAAGGGCTGGTTGATAAATGTAGAACTAAACCTGTACAACTTCAACCTGGGATTAATTCTGGAATACAAAATAACCTAAGGATAAAGCAGCTTATCATAAATTTGCAATTTCACTGACCCAATGAGTCATCAGAAAAGGAAGCACAGTGACCCACCTGACTTCTTTCCCTGGAAATATTCATAACAGAATGAGTAGCAGTGATGACTTCAAAGCAGATGTTCTCTCCTTCTTTGTCACAGTCTAGCCAGAGAATTAAGTAGTCACTTCCACGTGCTTCCTGTGAGAGATACTTCACCATCTGGAGTTTTGGGGTAGCTTCTTTCTTCTCTGTAGGGCAACTGAATAGTTCTGCCTGGAAAAATCATGAGTCTCAAAGACACCAAACTCTTCTAATCCTGAGGAAACCAGAAGATGCAGTGACTCGAAACAGCTTTGAGGTTTCTTCCCAAAAATGTTAAATGATCTCTTGAAAGTGGCCATTACTCCAAGTCACCCCATAGGGAGGGGCAGTTTGAGTATGGTCTATGGTTTTTGGCAGATCCAGTCCCTTTATTCTTAAGTTACTTTATTGTTGGAGTTAAATAAAACAGCAAAAAAGGTTGTTAGAAGAGTTATCAGCCTTCTTATTTGAAAACAAATACCCTGCATCGGAAAAGGAATCATAAACATTGATTACTGGTGGGCCAAAAAAAGAGGACAGTTTTCAATGATACACTGCACTTTATGCACTGCAGATTTTTTAGCACAGTTTGTGGCATTTGAAAGAGAAATGAATAAGCTTTAAAATTATGTGTTTACCTATCAAATATCTTCAGCAGTTTCAAAATTCTGGAGCTCATATAAACAGCAAATAAAAACTGCATTGCCACATTCTCAGAGAGAGATGGCATGTGACCTTCAGTCATGAAGGCTGCTGCCTGTCTATCCTTATCCCATCCTGCAGCAACATAATTTTTACTTGGTGTTTATATGAGCTCCCAAATTTCTGAAACTGTTGAAGATATTTGAAATTTAAATACAACATTGTAAAGCTTATTCATTCCTCCTCTTTCAAATGCCATAAATTGCATTAAAATATATGCTGTGAGTACAGTACAGTTGAAAATTATCTGGGTTTTTTTGGCCCACCCTGTACAATGAGCCCAAAATTCAGCATCAGCACACATCTTCCATTTCTAAGGAAGACTTGGATCAAGGCTACCTTTAACATGTTTGCACCACCATTATGAATTGCAAAAATTTGGTATTCTAAGAAATTCACTCTGATTAATAATATAAAAAGTCACTATATATCCTACTCCTCTATAACATAGGATATCTAGTAATTCATGAAATACTTTTTGTTTCTTCCAAGATCCAGGTAAATGTTTGCAGAATATTTCTTTTGCAAATTTTTTTTTTCCCTCATGCTTTTCTTGAGCTCACCTCTTAAATAAAAGACAAAATCAACTATATAGTCATGAAGGAGTATATGTCACCTAATCGTAGGCAAGAATTCAATGTGTTATGAGAAAGATAACTTGTCCAGTACCATTAATATGCAAGACAAAATATGTTTCAAGACACTCCACCATTCTAAGTTACTCAACTTTATGGTATTTACAGGAAGGCAAATGATGTTCTCATGCACATTGTATCAATCATATATCTTTAATATTCCTCTGGTAATTGAGGATTGAGGTCCCCCATAAACTGGTTAGCATTTACTCACTAGGTGGTTTCAGTATCTCAAACATGCAGAAATCAAGAGTGGGACTAAAAATGGAAAACCAGGTTTTTATAAATATCTATTACTTTAATTAAGTCCAACTTGATTACTTTCTCTTGTTGCTCCTTCTGTAAAATATTTAGACTGTATTGTATCCTGTACTATAGATGTTGCAGTCCAGAAGCAAACAAAAAACCTACCTTCTCCATGAAGCATTTACACAATTCATATCACTGTCTTGGGAGTGATGTACAGTTATAATTTTTTAAGGATGTGGTATGTACACCAGTGGTGTTGGCATGGTTCTTAGGGGGGTCATAACTGCACATAATCCCACCACCACCTCCTGAATTGCAGGTCCCTTTTTCAAACCTCTCTTCACAGTAGTTTAGGCATTTAGCGTAGCTGCATTTTCTTCAGCTGCCTGGGTAGGCCAGCTCTCCCTAAAGCATCCTTTATTACTGACACCAAGTCTCATATCTGTGGAATATCAGGGAATTCTCTACCTGTGGATGAAAGCGACCATTTTTTTCTCATCCACCTCTAATGTCGCCAGCATCTCATGCTTCAGGTAGCTCTAGGCTTGCCACCTTTGAAATTAGCAAAATATGGACACATGGTCTGTGGACATATGGGAATATGGACAAATATATAAAGTACATTGCATTTGTGACTCTGCTGCAAATACCAACAGCCACCTTTAGCCAAAGTACCAATTGATGTTATATGAGTTTGGCATACTACTCTGGCGAGAAGAAAAGAGTGGTTTTAACTGCTATTAGGTTTTATTAACTAAAAAATCTTAAGTTTAAAGTATGGATGAAGCAGTGCCCATATTAAGACAAGTTTGCAGTATGGACATTGCATCTGAAATATGAACCGTCCATACTAATTATGACTGGGTGACAACCCTAAGTAGTTCTTTTTTTTTTGGGTGTTGAAGAGGTGCATGCGAGCAAGCAAATTTTTTTAATGGATGAAGCGGTGCAATAATGCCAACGAAAAGCACTTATTTTATCATTACAAATCATGCTTCGAGCTGGCAACTACGTTCAGCGAACAACTCACAGGATCAACTCTATCCCAGTTGTTATATTTCCCGATGAAATCCAGGGTCATGACATGACCACAAACGGACGTCATTCTGAATTTCGTTCCCTTTCCTTGGAAATCTCCAGTCCATTCGTGAATGGAACATGCCCCGTTGAAGCCTTGAATGAAGAGGGACAACATACCTTTTTCAGGCCTCCTGTACCAAATGGCTTAGCCAATGTTTCATGTAATTTTCTCTTTTATGTGCCTGACCTCTTCTGCTGGTAGATCTGCCGTCACTCAGGATGGAGGAAATAGTTTGAGCTAGGCTGGGCTTCTCCGCTACCATAAATGCAGTCTTCATTTTTGAGACTCACGGTGTCCGTAGGCGCTGGCCTTCGCTTCACATCTGTAAATTCTCGTTTCCCTAAAAAGAACGGCACCGACGACCAATAAGAATTGTATTATTCAAAATCAAACATGGAGTCAGGATATGTCTACTTCAACACTCGGAGTGACTGCCATAGTAGGACAAATTACAAGAGATTAGGTGTGGCGGGAGCTACTAGCTGGGTGAGGGGAGTCCATACATCGCGAGCCATGGTTGGTAGGCCTTGAGGTGAACTCATTTTCATCTGGGCCTCTCACCCTTGGGAGTGAAGGAAGTCAGAAGCACCGAAGGACTTATTTTATTGCATTCTTCCTCATCATGGGCGGGGATGAGGATTTCTTAAAGGTTCACTGGCAGAATCTTGGTGAAATGCGAGTGAGTGTTTCCTTTGGGACATGAATGTTTGTTGCATTTATTTACAAATGAACTCAATCCACCTTTACAATGAGGTTATTTTTACGGTGCACGCGAGACAGGGGATAACTTGTCTCTTATGAGAATTGGCAATTTTCTGGAGCACTTGTGGAATTTAAAATTCATTTGCAAATTACAATGAGCCAAGATCGAAGGAAGTGAATCCAATTGCAAAGCATTGTAGGAACTGCTGGTGAATTAGGCCTATTCTTATTTTTCTTTTGTTTAAGGATAGTGTCTCCCGTATATATATATACCGAGACAAATATTTTGAGCGACATCCTTTGGAGGAAGCACACCTGAAGGAGGAACGACTCTCAGAAGAACTCCAGAAAGTCATTGCTTCACTTGATTGCAATCAGGGTAAGTGCTGCTTGTATTACTTGTCATGTCTTTCAAGGGGTAAGGTACATGAAAAAAAAAATATCCCACATGACTGGGACTGACTGACAAAGAAATACATAGGCCAGCCTACTTTCTCTTCTATACTGATCACCTGTTTTTTTCTTTTCTTTTACAGAAAAATGTGAGGATGAGAGCAAGGCATTCTATCAGTATCTGTATGGAAGAGCCTTGAATGTGAAAGCTGATTTCAATGCAGAAGCAGAGGAACGTCTTGCTAGAGCCATCAAGCTTGATCCGAAACTTGCTCCAGCTTGGAATGAATTAGGAGAAGTCTTGTGCAAGAAAAAGGATTTTCTGGCAGCTAAAGCCTCCTTTGATAGTGCCCTGAAACATGTAAGCCTTATAACTGTCATGAGATTAGGCTTATAGTAAAAGCTATTGCAAATATAGTAGGAACTACAGGTATTAGTCAATGTCAAGATTTTTCCTCCCTTTGCTTTTCAAAAAAGCAAAAGTACAGCCTGTCCAGTCCCAGAAAGGACCAGGTAGCATGGACCCTTAATGGGGTGGAATTTTTTATAACGTGTCAAAGCCTGTCACCACCTAGCATGAGATTGAGCAGTCATAAAAAGGGCTACAAAGGTGAACACTAGACAACAAAAAACACTAGGCTTCTAAGCCTAGTGTTTTTGTGAAGTCACATATTGAGTGAATTGTATCTCAGGATGGTCTGACCCCCATCCTTAGCCTGAGCAGGATGCCACTGAACCTGCCCTTAGGTTGTACAGATGAGTGAAATATTTTGGAGAGGAAAGGAAGGGGTTGAGGGCTTAATTATGACAAATGAGCTACTTCAGCTTCTTTGTGGATTAAAAGTGGCCCTTTTTGGGCCTGGACAGGCTGTAAATAGTTAAGATTCTACACCTATAAATGTATGAATGGATGTATGTGATAAAAATGTTAAGGCTGTGCTAGGTTTATGACATTACCCAGACCAAGAAGGGTTTTAAGATGTTGGTTGGTTGGGCCAAAATCATTGGTGAAGGAGGTTACGTTTCCTTTGGACCATTGGATCCCCACAAATTTTGATGAGTGGCATATCATTTGAAAAACTCTTTTGATGTTGAACAGAAAAGTCTCCTGAAACTTTTTATGAAAATCAAGATTTTCAAATTCATGAAAGGGGAAAATTATCACTGTAAGAATATAACTTTTCTAAAGCTTTTTTCTTGAGTATTTAGCTCAAGAATAATATGGCTATGATGGAGTTCTTGAACTTTCAGTGGAAGAACAAAATATCCCTTCGAAACCTATCCATGATGTGGAGGCATCAGGCATCATGCAGCAGTACCCAAGAAGAAAAGATGAAAAGCATAGAAGAAGGTCTGATGAGAGCCAAAGAAGCAGTGGAATTGGATGTGGAAGATGGAATCTCATGGATGATACTTGGGAATGCATACCTCTCATCCTTCTTTGCTATCTCTCCTGATCCTGATAATCTGCGAAAGGCAATGATGGCTTACCTGAAGGCAGTAAGAACTCATTTTGTTATGCATTTTGAGCTGATTCGATTCCAGGGAAACTAGTTAGTTTCATAACCTTCTTGATATGTAGGAAAGGGATACTGTGGCCAAATACACCCCTGATCTGCATTATAACAAAGGCATGGTTAGTTTAATTTTTATTTCATGTCTCTTGTACTTTGTCTTCATTACATTTCTGATATTTTGCATTCCTATCTCATGCTCACTTATTGTTTCTCATCCAATTTAGGCACTGAAATATGAAGAAGATTATCAGCGGTCCCTGGAGTGCTTGAAGATGGCATTCACATTAGACACAACATTTTTGGAAGCTCAGGAAAAAATTAGATCTATTCTGGAATATTTGAAAAAAATTCAAGATCTCACTGAAAACAGAGGGAGGCTGAAGAGCAAGAGGCTTTTGCAGATGATCAAAGTGAGTTGAGTCCATTTTAAATGGACTCAACTCAATGAACTCAACAGATGCTCTGGTCTACATAAATATTATACCTTTACTTTCCTTTTCTTGAAAGAGCCAATAATTTCAAGGTTTGTAGGTCAAAGATTTGCATGATATTTTTAAATTTCTTTTGTTTGGACCACACATTCAGGCTGCTATGTGGATCCTTCTGCTCTTGACCAAAAGCACAATTTGACCCAAGTAGATCTGTGGATGTTTCTTGTTGAACAACTTTCTCCATCAGGAATCTTTAACATGCCACATTTTGAAATGGGGTGAAGCATGTCATATAATCTCCCTGATGCTGTACTGGATGGAGATGCCTATCATGGTCTAGGCTTAGCTGGTTTTGTACCAGGATCTGTCTAAGAATCCATGCTTGCTACTAGGCCACCCCTGATTCTCCCATGCATGCATTTTCTGCCCTAGGGACAGAAATACATCCAGTAGTTTGTTGCAATACAGGGATTTTGTCTTGACAGTTCTCAACATACCCTTCCTTTTGAGTTGCAGATGCTTTCTGAGAAGGATTTGGGTCCATATGGAGGTGGAAGTTTTTCAAGTGCTAGTGGGAAGATGAGTGTGAAGCTCACACCATGTTCCATTGAGGACCTACTTCGTGGACCAAATCCAGAGAAGGTGATTTTTGGCAAGGTTGTTGCCAGTGACAACACACAAAATTATGTGCCCTTGTAAGTGTATTGAAATAATCATCTGGTCAAATATTGACAGTGCTAGGCATTAAATAACTTAACTCTATTTTAGGACTCAAAAATTAACATTCTTTTGTTCATAATTGATTTGGAAGGATTGCAACCCTTATTTTTTTTAGAAATATTTGATCAAGAACAGGAAAAGCACTTAGTCTTGTCTACTAGTCTTCATAATATAGTTGTATTGTGTGACACAAGCTATGCCATATTCCCTCCCCTTTATCTTCTCCACTACCAAAGAAGGATCTGAAGTGGTCTTGGGATGAAAAAATGCATCAATTCTAGAGTAAAACAAAGTGGGCACACAAGGCTGGATGGATCTCCAAAAAATGTTATTTATGAAGATGCAGCAGGATAATGAAACATTCAAATATTTGATTTTAGCCTGAGGCCTGAAGTTTAGTTTGGTTGCAGAATAACATCCATTGGGGTTAGGTAAGATGACCTTGGGGTGCATGAAATTAGGCCACCCCTTCCTTCCATCATAAAGAGAAATGCATTTGATAAAATCTTATATCAGAGAAAGGTGTGGGTGCCATGTTGCTGGGGAAAAAAACTCCTTTTTCACAATTAAATCCTTTTTTTTCAGGTAAGACCATGAAAATTGTCAAATTATTGAACTCGATGTATCACACTACAACTCAGACCTTTTCAGGAGAGTTGCCATTTTAAAAATGGAATCAGCTGATCATGGGTGTGTTTAACTCTTCAAGCAGTTTTCATGTACACTGTACATCCATCACTTAGGAGGTCAGGTCAAAACTCAGCACTTGAAGGGCCAAAGCACTGACTAAAGAACTTGAGATCCTAGGTTATACTCATGAGTTACATATGTTTCAATATTGCTATTTTGAATTAAAAAATATTGGCATCTGTGCAGCCTTTTATGTCCACCCTGCCCACAGATTAAAATTGATAGATCCCAAGAGCTAGATTGCATATTTTAATTTGCCCATCACTGCTCACTATGCTTCAGTTTCCCTCCATTTGACATGGTATACATTCCAACAGCACCTTCTGTCTAGTGGATCGTGATTCCACTTGCATCAGTGTCACTGTGTACAATTTGGCACAAGGGAAAGGAGTGATAATTGGCGATTCTGTGGCAGTTCCAGAACCATTTGTGGAAGTCATTCATGTCACATGGGATTCAGAAGTGAGTATCACCTCATCTTGCAAGCTGCTTTCAAAACATGAATTCTTCCTAATCAAATCAATGCTCTCCATTCTCTCTCTGAAAAGGAATACAAGTTCAGGTCTGTGCGGGTGGAGAGTCCCTTGGTACTGGTAGTGAATGGGAAGAAACTTCAACGAGACAATCTGGCACATGCTACTGTTTCATTCTTTCAGCGATCTTGAAAATCCTCGAATTCAATGTGATTGTTTTTTATACTACACTATATAACTAAAAGATATTCATATCAGAGACTGCATACTATATTTATTTCCAAGACACAAATAGGTACAGATGAGTAATATACTAGTAATAATGAAGAGTGACTATTGGACCACAAAGGGTCAGAGATCATTTTAACAGCATCAGCTTCATCTTTGAAATGACAACTTGGAATTTTTTACAATGAAGCTTATGAATATATCATCTCTCAGGTCAATAAAAAGACCTGCAATAGAACAGTGTCCTGTCACTGTTACATGATATTTTAGATTAAAATGTGATATCAGACGTCAACAATCTTTCATTTAAAAAAAAACATACATTGAGGATTTAATGAGCTTACACAGGAAAAGGTTAGCATCACATAACCATCAATGCATGGTGTTCTCACCATGTAATCAGACTATACAACAACTTGCACAAATTATCAAGATAGCAGGTCTATGGGCTATCAGTACAGTATCTTGCATCATTTGACAAAAAAGTAAACAATGGTTTCAAAGGAAAAACTCTTCTGGTTTTTGGGTACCAACATTTCAGTGGTCTGCTTAATTTTTCACATTTCTACTGAATCCCAATGATTCACTGCAAGAACCATCAAATTGAAAAAAATGATAATGGAAAGCAAGGAAAGATAAACCTGTGAAGTTTCTTGACATTGACCAAAAACAAAAAATGGAAAGCCACAATGACCTACCAAGAGCCACTGACTAGATTCCATCAAAGATACCATGGGAACAAAAAGGCAATAAAGCACTTTGAAAACTGATCACAGGAATGTGGAAGTCCTTGTAACCTCTTTCTCAAGAGGCACGTCGTGTTTGGCTCTAGACAGTGTACATCAACAAACTTGTCATAGAATTTCCGAGGATGCAACATGGATCACAAGATGATAGATACATTGCAACTCATAGACATGGCAAGCACTCCTCCATGACCCCTTGTACCTAGCTGAGGCAGACTTGAGAAAATCTAGACACTTATCACAGTAATGAAGAAATGGTTACAAATAAAGAGTCTACTTGCTGTCTTATTGGCTCCATGCAGCAGGAGGTTCTTGGTCAGGTTGGTCTAGGCTTCCTTTCTCTTGCGAAGGCTGGTGTTGTAAGCCCGAATGACTTCCGACTGCGACACGACTCCATGCTCTTCTTGTGAGAATGCGAACCCATCTGGAATGATGACATTCTAACTTTGTCACCAGATATGTGGTTTCTATGGCCTCTAGGCCATATAAAATTGAAAACCAGCATGCAGACAGACACTGGGAAGGTGCAGGAGGAGGAACAAGAACACCACACAAGTATGAGTGAGGGAAGGATGGGACCTAGGCCACCTCCAACAAGCCAGCTATATGTGGAGGGAGGGTGGATGGGCTCACAAAACTTGGATGCTTCACCTCTCTCTCTAACAGAAACCCTTCACCTGGTTTCTTTAGGATTTTTCACTATACTGGAGCTCATATGCTTCATAGCTTTCTCCTCTGCATGATTCTTTACAAGAAACTATTTTATCTGGTTTCACAGTATAGGTCACCTTTCCATTTCAATGCGATGGAATACTTCTGAGTATGCCAACAATATTTAATAATCAATGGAAAATTATTGCCCATAACCAGGTTATGATTTGACATGTATCACAAGAATGTTAATTACTGGATAGATGCTGCATGAATACTGAAAACCTCATCTTTGACCCTTAATGAATACAGCACTCTAGATATAGAGAAGCTATGTCTGGGCATATACAGGGCAGTCCAAAAAATCTTGGACCCCAAGGGTATCAATGAAATCGACAATACCTGGATTAAATCAAATTATATATTACAGGTGAAACTCTACATAGAGTATTGCTTCACATAAAAAAATGTTAATTTAGTTTGAGCAATAAATCTCCAGCAATTGCAGCAAATTTTCAAAGTGACAACCATCTTGATCAATGCACATCACAACGCGCTTCTGAACAGATCAATCACTTTATTTCGTTTTGATCCAGGAGTTGCCAAGCTTCACTAACATTCTCGATGATGTGGTTTTCATCCTGAACGGCCTCAGTATACACGTGTTGACACATTCTTTCCTTACATGATAAACCACTGGTCAGGAATGCAATTGTCCAAGTATCCCTGACATGTGACTCCCAAATTCACCTGACCTCAATTTGGTGGATTATTATGTATGGAAAGAATGTGTAAACACGTATACTGAGGCCATTCGGGATGAAAACCACATCGGGCATGTTAATGAAGCTTGGCAACTCCTGGATTAAGCTGAAATAAGAAAAGCAATTGATCAGTTCAGATGGCAAGTTGTGATGTACATTGATAAAGATGGGGGCCACTTTGAAAATTTTCTGTAATTGCTGGAGATTTGTTGCTCAAACTAAATTAACAATTTTTACATGAAGCAATGCTCTACTCATCAGCCTATTCCAAGGTGTCATACCGAAGGTGACTGTATGAAACTTTAATACGAATGTTGCAGTCAAATGAAAACGGCTTAACTTTTTCCAACTCACCCTGTATGATCGCATGGCGCATTGAAGTCCGAAGTTGAATCTAAAACCCTCTCAATAAAAAAAAGTTGCATATAAGGGCCTATGTATACGTACAACGTGACCCTCTCAAACCAGACATGAGTCCGAAAGGACTGAGTGATGATCTTCCCAAGCCAACACCCCACCAAGTGTATTCCAGGAAAGAGAGTATTTTTTGCATGTCCTGAATGAGCTCCGGATAAGCCCTTGCTTCACACGAAGTAGAGGTTCTTTTCATACGAGCGATGAAATGAGATCAAAGGAGAAACCTAAAGTTTTATGGTGAAGACCCATTAGCACAATTCATGAGATATTTCCATCCAGCTTGCTAGATGCCAGAGGGAATGTCAGGATTAGAGACGTTTACCCTCGATGGAGATTCTTGTCAGCCAATATCAAAGGTGTCAAGGCTTTGCCTGCACTCCATGAAATTGTTTCTACTCCTTAGAATAAAACCGAGGACAAGATCTTGAACAGCAGAATATCTAGGCCTGTATTTTGACCCAATTAACACCGACAGAGATGAAACAATCCATGTCAATGCCATATGACTATTTTGCCACAGGGTTTGTCATTCCGATCGCTTATACTATTGCACTATTATTATTATGCACGTGTTCCTTGGATTAAAAGCAAGCCTATATATACCCCGATAGGGCTATCATGAGGTGTCTCTTCAAAATACAATGATCAAAATACAAACGCATTTCCTGCGTGTCTTTGTTTTCGATACAGTTCTTCACAAGAGGTTGCGAACGAAATTGAAGACGCACGGGATTCGAGGCAGGATGAGAAACTGGATAAGTTACTGGCTGTTGGAAAGAGATATAAGAGTAATTGTAGATAGTGAGGAGTCTGCGGAAGTACAATACTCGTCAGAAGTCTCCTACTCCCCTAACTTTATCAGACGAGCCGAGGAAGTGATTATTTTATTGTATTTATGTACACAGGTCAGCCTGATCACTAATGCAATATAAAATCACCCTGACTTTCAATGACCTCAGAAACACAAGTTTTCATACTTCGTACAAGTCATACAGCCAAGTCCATTAAGAGTGCCGCCTTGCACTCCCGTCTGATTGCCGACACCAGGGGACCTATAAATTTTGATTTTTTTTTTCTTTTGCTACCGCATCTTCAGTAGTTTCTACATGTTTTCGATCGGGTTGAGGTCGGGCGACGGAGCTGGCCGATCGAGTTTTCCGACCCAATTCTTTGCTCTCCACTTTGTTGCAAGCTTCGACTTGTGCTTCGGGTCATCGTCTTCCTGCAGTTTCCATGTCTCGATGTCGATTCAGGACCAAATCGGTCCTTGGCTGTCGGCAAGAGGCTTTAGATAAAGAACCTTGTCCTTGACAGGGGACGCCATAATGGGCGAAAGTGCCTCTTGACATCCCTATCCGAACAACTTGATCGAGACTAGGATTAGGGAGACACGTTACATAACGACCGCATGCAGGTCACCGGAGCACGTTAAGGAAAGCACCTGGTTATTGGTGTCCGGATAAACGATAGTTGACAGCATTATTCAGAATGTTCACATCCATCTCATGCTTGACACTACCAGTACCACATATGAGATATGAACCCCATTTGTAGAGAACATGCAAACTCAGGGATGGGGTTTACATGCTGAACATCGTATTGGTCCCATGTACGCTCGGAAAAAAGCAAGACGCTTCTTCCAATGGCACCCAACTAAATTATATTATTACTGAAACGGCCATATACATGCACATTAAAGATGGTAAGACCACATTTAGGAATTACTCATCCATGCATATCGTACAGCATACTCACGGCTCAATTCCACTTCAAGGTTAGCTCGCATGGCTGTGCGTCGGAATACATTCTTCACATTCTTCAACAGCCTAGCCGTCTCGGATAACCTAAAAAAAAAACGTTCACCCCAGCCCATTGGCTTTAGCCCTTCCTTTTCCTCCACCAAGACATGCATTGCTGCTCAGCCAAGCATGATCAGAAGGGCAAGAGCAAGATTCCTCTCATGAAGAGTTCATTAGGGGAAGAGAGAAGAGATTGATTTACTTTTTGCTGGTAGACTTCAGAAGGACATTCCCAGGATCCCCTTTCTGGATCTCACTTTCCCGAACAGCTTCCGCCAAGGACTTCCAAACTGTGTTCTTGATCCTATGGGACATTTATGCTGTAGTCAAGCACAAGAGTGACGAATTGAGGTTCACACTGAGAAGTGAGAGAAAGGGCTATGTGAGGCATTTCGTCTCTTGTATCTAGGCATGCTTCTCTCACTTCTGTAGATTTTATTTTTTCAGGGGTGTCTGGCGAAACAAGTAGAAGCTTTCGAAATTTTCATCCTATACTACCAATTATATTTCAAATCCACTGTCGTATAGTGAGCAAAACAAAAAAAATCCGAATGCACTAACCTCATTTAGGGGAGATAAAGGGGCCTTTAAACTCAAGAGCTCTTTTTCTCTCATAGAAGTCTATGTATTCTTAAAGGACCGTTAACTAAAGGAGATTTCAGCATTCAGACCTTAGCTTCTTCTAACTGTTAGTCATTTCAATAACTGCCATGTCTATTCCTCTGCAAACTCATTTTCTTCACATAATATCAGGGGTGTAGCCAGGAATTCTTTTCGGGGAGGGGGGGGGGGGGGACTTATGTAATTTCGTGTGCGTGTGCGTGTGTGTGTGTGTGTGGGGGGGGGGGGGGGTTGGCTCATTATACGACAGAAGTTTTGAATATGTAATTTCGTGTGCGTGTGCGTGTGTGTGTGTGTGTGGGGGGGGGGGGGGTTGGCTCATTATACGACAGAAGTTTTGAAGTATGGTTGGCAATCAAGGATGAAAATTCAAAAGCTTCGCCCTCCTTCATTTCGAAAATGTTCAATTTTTTCATTTCATGTTATCTCCCGCATCGTATCGGAACGAACGTGAGAAGATTGATTTCACCATTTTGATGAATGGGTGGATGCAAGAAACCCTTTGTGGGAATACAAAAATTCTCAGATACCAAGAGTTCGGCAATGAAATTTGGCATCGGTAGGCCTAGTATTGTTACTAGGCACACAATAATTCCGTTTAAGTCGGTCAAACCATAACTGTTGGTAAAGTCGATGATACTTAGGTAGGGTTTGCTGTTCCAAAAATTTCCTGAAACGACGGAAAGTTGTACGATGAAGTTCTGCATGGGCATAGTTCAAACCAAAAATGAGCAAATAAGAGTTTCCTTTAAAAATGTTAAATTATCAAGCCACAGCAAATGTTTGAAGAGCTGAAGAAGAGAATGAAATCTCATGCATGCATAGAAGGTTCTTGGTGTTTTAACTAGCTGGACTGGTGGCTTAGGCAAGATTTTTCCCGTGTCCTGTCATAGGCATTGACGTAGCCAGGAGGGGGGTCCAGACTGCCAAGAATCCCTTCTGACTTCTCCTCATACGTCCTTACATAGGATCATCAATTCTTTAGTTACTTAAGTAGAGCATGAGGTAGCTTTGCTTGACCTGCTTTCCACCATGATTGAGGAAGGCATTCTCATACCTCATTGGCTGCGCAAAAAAGAAGTTAGTCGGTAGGAATGACCTGACAACCTATGCTCTCTGGGAAATTCCCAGGGCATCCCTTGTCAAGTGCAATTAACTGTTAAAGTTAAAAGTTAAAAGCCTCTTCCTGCTTTGGGAGTTTCCTTACATGCCTGAAGTCTGAACCCAACATTATTTTCATTACAAGAACAGGGTACAAATGGCATGATATATGCAATAAAAGAAAAGGTCAGCAGATGTACTTACGCAGTGTAGGCAATGTCTGGGAGAAGTGCTATAAAGGGAAAGATGATTAGGCCCACCCAGAAGAGCATGGAGCGATACAACATCCCATGCATCCCGGCCATTTCTGCTGCAAAACGTAAGGTTGGCCAAAAGTTGGCGTATAACGTGAAGAAAAAGAACCAAGATGCTATCGAGCCCCAGATAGCAAGATGAGTGAAAACAGTCCAAGCATTAGTCTCCAATCCTGCCTTCAGGCAAACAGTAACCACCACATACTGCAATGAAAGAATAATAGGCTGGTTTGTCTGATGATAGTTCCACATTTGAGAGATCCTGAGAAATAAAGGAGAGGACATACTGTATAAACCATGTTTCCAACCATGAGGTAGCCTCCATCTCGTCCATTTCCCCAAGCAACATCTTGTTTCATGGCTCCAGCAGGCAAGTAATAAAGGATGATGGAATGCATGAGTGCATTCACCACCCAGAACCAGAACACTCTCACATTGAACATTTGAGACTCTTGAGACATTTTGTACAGAGCAGGGAAACGTAGCATTGTTTCAGCACTGCAGAATCGGTCAAACAGTCCCAAGGCAAATGGAGGAGTGGCAGTGAAAAGCTAAGGGGAAAAAAGCAACAACAAAACTTGCACTTTCACATCAGCAGGATGTTATTCTACTGTCATACAAGTTACAGTTGAGATAGGAAAAGAACTCACAACATTGTAGAACCCAATGCACCAGCGATCAAAGAGAGTCTGCCCAGACCAAGCACTCTGTATTGCGAACCATAGCTCAATGACATAGAGGCATATATTCTTGTAGAAGGAGTACAGGATGAGTTTACACATCCGATGATAGCACCAAGCTCCATGAACAAACAGGAGTTTACGAAGGAAGCGGAACTGCAAAAACATGACAATTATAATCAGCAGCTTCCATGTTGCTGAAGTGGACAACATGGGAATAATCTCCAGACAAGGTTCCTCACTTGTGCAATGGCATAATCAGATGCACAAACAGCCTGCATCCCTTCCTGGCCAGCAATCCCAATTCCAACATGTGCCTTTTGGATCATAGCAACATCATTGGCTCCATCGCCTATAGCCAATGTAACGGATTTTGTTTCCAATCCCACCAACTCCACTATCTGTTTAGCAGGAGAACAAAAACACCTGGTTCTGCATCACTTGGAAAATGGATACAATTTTTAAAGCTCTATCCCCCTTGTCTATAACTGTATAAGCTCTACTGATAATTGTAATTGCATACAAGGGCCCAATAAAAATTCTGAAATACTTGACAACTAGAAGGCCAATTAGGATGAAATTTTGCATGAAGATATATCAATATTACCTTAAAGTAAGTGAGTAGTTTGAGTAATATTCATGGAGTAGTTTTCACGTAGTAGTAGTTTTCATTTCTCAGAAAGCATGGAACTGTCATGGAACTGTTTGACCAATGATTTTCTGTGAAATATCAGTTGAAAATCAAAGTTGTTGGTGAGTGATTGCTCCTGCAATCAGTCACCAACTTACAGGCAGCTTTTGAGGACCAAGCACCTTCATGTGAAATTATATTTCGTTGGTTTGCTGAGTTAGATTGCAGGAGAATGAACTTTGAATATGAGCCTCACTTAGGATGGCTGCCAACAGCAGTCACCCCAGCCAACATCTCTGCTGCAGAGAAGCTAATCCAGGTGAATGCCTGAGTCACCTATGAAACCTTGCGGGAGACCCGAGGCATTGGATTGGCAGCAGTTACCACCATCCTGCATGAACAGCAAGCGTTTTGCTCACTGGGCCCCCCACAACCTCTCTGAGGAGCAGAAGGAGGCATGTGTGCATTGGTGTGAATTCATGCACCAGAACCTCAATGGTGGCAGGTCCAAGCAAGTATGGGAACTGGTAACTGGCGATGAAACTTGGAACTACCAGTATGACCTGCAGACCAAGCAGCAGTCCTCAGTTTGGGTGCTTCCTGGTGAGAGTCCACCTGTCAAGTTCAAACATGCTCAGAGTGTTGAAAAGCAGATGGTGGCCTCCTTCTTCTCTGAGAGTGGTCATGTGGTCACAGTTCCACTCGAAGATTGACATTCAGTCAACTCCAACTGGTATGTGATGCAGTGCTTACCCAGAGTCTTCAAGGCTTGGACCCAGCATTGTCCAAGGACCAGTTTTTGTGGATTGTTGCTGCCCCATGACAATGCTAGTGCTCACACAACTGCTCTGATCTTGGATTTTCTGGTGGAAAATTGCATACAGTTGATCTCTCACCCACCCTATTCACCAGACCTAGAACCCTGTAATTGGTTCCTGTTCCCATTTGTGAAGAAACAGCCACATGGGAGACATCTTGGCAGCCCTGAAGAGGCCAGGATCGAGTTTGAAAGGGTCACTGCTGACATACCTAACTCTAAGTGGTCTGAGGTGTGGGAAAAGTGGTTCCAGCATATGATCAAGTGCATACAGGCTCATCGAGGATTCTTTGAGAAGGAGTAATTGTTATTTTCAAAATAAATTCTTTGAATGAATGATACCTCAGAACTTTTGGTGGGGCCCTCGTATTCTCCATGCAAAATATTAGAGGAGTAACTACATTATTCATGATACCATGTACCAGCCAGAATTCCAGACACTGGTGAATATCTGAATTGGTGACATTTAACATGCAAATTCAAAACCATGCAATTGAAACTCTGATGCTGAAATTCCACGAATTGGAAGTGAAGTATGATCCCATAAGGCAGCAGTTCTTAAACTTTTCTTCACAATGGCATCCCTTTGCACAGTGAGATGTTGGCAGCACCCCTGCATATCCATATAATATAATACTGTTGGTATTGAAAATTTTCAAAACCTGATATCAGCAAAATCTCAGAATTATCACACCTCTACAAAAGATGCCACTCAGATGCATGGCATGTAACTTTGCTTGAGGAACCAATATGCTTAAACTGAAGGCCAGATGAGTAGAGCCATGTTCAAAGTGTACATGAACAATATTTAACCTTGAAGGCATGGAAATCCAATGAATCCTGATTGCTTCTTAGAAATGCTGAATGTATGGAAAAAAAAAATTTTTGTAACTCACCTCAGCTTTTTGCATGGGGGAGACACGACAGCAGATCACTGACTTGCAGGAAATGCAGAGGTCCATGAAATCCTTCCTCATCTCAGCACTCAAAGCATACTTTAAGGTCTTGCCATTCACAATGAGGGCACAGTCATTGTCTTTGCGAAGCTGGTCCCCAAAGTCATTCACATGTCGACTCACAACTTCCCTTGTGGCCTGAATCCATGAATGGAGAGAAGGTAAGAATGAGCTCATGTTAGTAAATATAGTGAAATCCTGGGCTAGAAATACTATGAATGAAAGATGATATGCATACATCAAGACTATCTTCGTCGATGATAAGCAAGGCCATGGAACGGGTGAGAAGGTGACACGAGTAGCCAATATTAATGGCAGTCTCTTGCTTGTCCCCTGTGAGTACCCAAACATGGATGTCTGCTTTCAGCAGTGCTTCAATTGTCTCTGGAACCTGGGATGAAAACATCCAAGCATCATTATTAACATCATCTGCAGCCAAAAGGGAAGGTTTACCTCTGGTAAAGCAGAGCAAAAATTTTTTTAAAAGCAATTTTCAACTCCATACATCATATTAATTTCCAATTGTGTCAGCACATTATCCAAGAAAAGTGGTTTCAGCTTTCAAACTCCCATATAAGCCATCATGCATTATATAGCTAAATAACATTCTTAAAGGGATGCAGAATATCATCATTGCAGTTTGTAATAAAAGGCTATCAAATCAAGAAGAGTGTAAATAAATGGACCAAAGACCCCTTCAATCCATTCAAGATGGAAGAGAGTGGGGTGCAGCAACTTCATTCTAAGGAGATACAAAGTTTGCATATTCATACATAGAGGATTAACTGAGAATGAAGTTCCAGTGAATGAAATGTAATATAAGGATCAGAGTCTACTGTTTGTTGGAGGAGTACCTGGTAACTGATAGGATCCAAAGATTCCCAAATTTTCACAAGGTAGAACAGGTTTAAAGGTCTCAAATCAGTACCAGTCCAGTTGTGCACATACATAAGGTAAATGAGGGAACATATATCTATTACTATTATATTTCAGAGTGTTTGTGTGTGTGTCTGTCCTTTATGCACGGCCACACCTCTGATTCCAGTCCGACCAAACCTTGCATGGCTTCCTCATTTGGTCCAGGGATGGTCATGGGCTAGATGGCATTTCAAAATTCTGACCTCCCCACAGTACCTCATTTAGTGCAGATTTGGTTGATTCACTACTACAGTCCCCCAAAGGAGTCAAAATTTTGGGGGGTCATCAAAAAAAATTTAAGTAGTAACATGCAGCTTGCTACTGAAAATTTGCAATTGGTTGTATAGCAAAAGCTACATATTTTAAACAATTTCTAGCCAGGTTTGCCAAAGAGGCATTAAAACAATATTAAGCTCTCAAATATACATGTACAGTCATCCCCTGACTTGCGTCATCTCGTCTTATGTCATTCCGCACTTACATTGTTTGCCCCCAGACCCAATACAGTCATCCCCCGACTTGCATTGTCTCATCTTACATCGCTGGTCTCAGAACCAATTACAACATAACTTCAGGGGATGACTTTACAGGGTGACCAGAAAGTTCGGAGACACTCAAAAATACCAATATCCCGATACCATAAAGAACAATAAATGTTTTTTTAATTTCATAAGAAAGAACATAAGAAAACCTTCAAAATGAGTTAAACATCTTCGAAATAGCCCCCATTGGCAGCAATAACTTTTCCGAGGCGTTTTGGAAAATTGTCCACAGTTTCTCGCAGCTGTTTCACAGGGATTTCGTCCCATGCTTTCAGCAAAGTTGACTTGAGGCTGTCCAAATTTTTCGGCTGAGTAGCACAGACCTTTGCCTCCAAAAAGGACCAGATACTATAGTCCATCGGATTTAAATCAGGGGAGCAGGAGGGCCAAGCTTCTGGACCAATAAAATCTGGCAACTCGTGCACGCACCACTCTTTTGTTGATCGGCTGTTGTGAGCTGGGGCATTGTCTTGTTGAAATGTCCAGGAAGAATCCCCAAAATGATCCCTTGCCCAAGGATAGAGAACCTTCTTCAGAACTTCATTTTGATAGTAATTGGCATTGATTTTGATGTTAGGAGCCACAAAATGCAAGGGTGTTTTAC